AGCAAAAAGAGGAAAACACTGCTGTCAAAGCCACAGAAGCTGGTCTCTTCAGTTCCCAAATGTTTACAGAGTGATGTTCAAAGAGGAGGTGATGCAACACTGTGGTAAACATGTCCCTGTCCCCAAGTAACAAACGAGCATAAAATAGAATTTCAACAACATTTTTTTTAATATGTTGCCTTTATAACATTTCCTGGTCACATATGGACGTTAAATGATTTGCAAATCTGTGGAAATGTGGTTGTAGCTGTAGCAAACGGAGAAAACGGGAGAGTTATCGCCACGCAGAATAAATCTTTAGTCCAGATGGAGCCAGATTTTTTTTTCTGTCAACAATGAGGACCTCCAGTCCCCCAGCACCACCGCAAAACTTCAAAGTCTTTCTGCCCGAGCCTTCAAAAGGACCAAAGTCTATCCAGTGAGATGCCACACACACACGCGCACACACACACACACACACACACACACACACACACACACACACACACACACACACACACACACACACACACACATCTGTGGCTTCAGTGATCTCTGAAATGGAAGGGGTATGGAAAACGAGGCACCTCCAGAGCGCACCGGGTCTGTTTAGAAACACAAAGGCTCTCTTTCAGGTGTGCCACAAAACCAGACCTTCTCCCTCCTCCACCTCCTCCTCCTTCTCCAGCCACAATATGAGCAGCAGGCAGGCATCCTGAGGCATCAAAGTGTTTCTCACCATCCTGCCACTTTAGTAAAGTGAAGGTCACCGAGGCCTTGCCAGTTCACAGCGAGTTATGCAGGTGTGGACTTGTGTGCAACAAAACCAAACTTTTGGCAAACCATGTCATTCATGTATTCATTTAATTCTTCTGCTTCGCTTTGCCAGCTTATCTGGTGCATTTTTCATGTATTAGAATAATTTCGACTCCATCTGTTGTGTCGCTTAATGAAATGTCATCGCAGTTTAGGTTTAAAAGCCCCCTACACACACACACACACACACACACACACACACACACACACACACACACACACACACACACACACACACACACACACACACATTTACCCCACACACTGCTCTACATTTTTATAGTGCATTCTCATAAATTGTTGGCAATTCGTTCCTGAATTGTCGCGGATGAGATCAACAAAATAATGAAGTGCTGTTCAGAATCAGCTCATGCACGTCACGTTCGGTTGGAATCAAGAGTCACAGCTTGAGAAACTGAGTGTGAAACTGAAAGTTAGGTGTTTTAAAAAAAAGACCTTTGTGACTTCTTGAAAAATTGCTAGGGATTTATCTCTCAGGCTGATAGATATCTCAGTGGCATGTTAATACACAGAGGCAGACACTGGTGCTATATCTGTTGGTGGTCACCTGCCCAAATCCCCTCAGCCCCAAGGACGGCAACCGCTTGCAATGCTGATCATGTTCGTCCTTGACCCATTTCGGCGTCTCCGGACACCGAAGCTATCCGTGTCTACGCCCTCTTTTCTCTATAGGTTGTGCTGATTAAGGGCAGCATTTAAAGCAGAAACTGGAGCAATCTGCCATCAGCTCTGCCTGACTGCCGCTTTGACTGTTCGTTCAGCAGCTAGCAGCCTGATTACAGCCGGCTTTATGGCTCAGCCTGGACAGATGGTGTTCCTCCTCTGCCCTGCCTCCATGTGCTCATTTTCACCCACTACCACATAGCCGACAGCCACTGCTGATCACTGAAAAGCCACCAGGAACATCGTTGTGCTCTTCTGCCTTTGGCTCCAAAAATATGAATGGATAAAACCACTGGTCAGTCACGACATTATAAAAATGAAGACAGACAAAATGAGGAGCATTGGTTATCGTTGGGTCCTGGTATTTTTATGGTTTCTACTTTGCACTTTGTTAGTCCACCAAAATCTGTTTCAGACCAAACACACAACTCCCCGGTGGCACCAGCTTCCTTGAAAATGGCAATGCTCCCTACCATAATGCTAAAATAAGAAAGACAATAAGAAAGGGAAAGAATAGCGTCCATGGGAGAGGCCAAGGAGAAAACCACTGCTGACCAAAAACAACACAATGGTTCGTCTCACATTTACCAAAAACATCTGGATGATCCCAAGAAAATATTCTGTGGACTGACGAGACAAAAGCTGAACTTTGTGGAAGGTTTAAGTCCTGTTACGTCTGACATCAAACTAACAGCATTTCATAAAAAGATCATCACAGCAACAGTCAAACATGGTGGTGGTAGTGTGATGGGGCTGCTTTGCTGCTTCAGGACGACTTGCTGTAACTGATGGAACCTTGAATTCTGCTCTGAAGGAGGATGTCTGACCATCAGTTTATGCTCTGAAGCTCAAGAGCACTTGGGTTTCGCAGCAGGACAATGATCAGAAACACAGCAGCGAGTCCACCTCAGAATGACTCAAAAAAAAAAAAGAAGGTTTTGGAGTGGTTGAGTCAAAGTCTGGACTTAAATTGGATTGAGATGCTTTGCATTGTCCTTAAACAGGCCCTTCATGCTGGAAAACCCTCCAATGTGTCTGAATTAAAACAATTCTGCAAAGAAGAGTGGATGTAATTCTTCCACAGTGATGTGAAACACTGATTTCCAGTTTACACAAACTCTTGATTGCAGTTCTTGCTGCCAAGGGTGGCAGAACCAGTAATTAGGTTTAGGAGGCAGTTCATTTTTTCACACAGCGACAGGTAGGTTTGGATAAAATTGATCCCCTAATAAATGAAATCATCATTTTAAAACTGCATTTTGAATTTACTCAGGTTATCTTGACACATGTAAGTGTGACAAATATATAAAAAACGAATAAATCAGAAAGGAAGGTTCCTCACAACACTGTACGTGAGAATCCTGAAACCTTGAAGAATTTCTTTGAATTACACAAGTATTTTTTAAAACTGTGTAACAGTGTCCTCGTAGCCCCCACATACAGTTTATGAATGTTTGACATTCTTGTACAAATAAGTCAAAACTTTGATAATATTGCCTGTAAATGTGTAAAGGACATCCAGAAATTGATTGAAACTCTGGTTGGTTAAACTTTTTGAATGATTCATGCACTTTTGCACTGCCTCAGTAAGTAATACAAGGCCTTCTGTCACACTGACAGGCACATGAGTCCCGACTTTGAGGCTAGAGAAAAAAGGAGGTGATAGTCCTTGCTAATGCAAATAGCATGCGGCAGACTGGGTTGAATGTCGCTCTGAACGTTCAAATTTACATCTCAGCTCCTTCCGTGTGGGTCCTTCCTTGTTTAACTTCACCGCAAATCAAACCAATCAAAAGTTGAAGAAGAAGATGGTGTCATGAATCCAGATGATTCCCAGCTGACAGTGTCAACGTTTTTTCTTTTGTCGAGACTTTTTTAAAAAATTTTTTTTTTTTTACAAAGACTGCCTGTTACTCTGGATCCTCTGGTGCTCCTGAATGTCAGTTTCATCTTATCACTTCCATTTACATGATCCCAGCTGGGCCCGAGATTATCTTTCACAGCTTATCTGGTGCTGGGGTAGGTTTTCTTTTCTTTTTCACAGAATCACAAAGTGAACGCCTGTGAGGTGAAAGGTCACCGTACAGCGCTGGGGATTGAGAGGGCATGTGGCTGCTATTCAGATGGAAATAGGTAGAGGTGTTTTCACTCTTTGGTACCTGTTCTGCATGCAGCTTGCAGCGTTCGCAGCACAAAATAGAAGCAAAAGATTGTTTCTGAGCAGACGGGGGCCTTGAAGGTCAGGGTTGCTCGCTTGGTTTGTGCTGCCGTGATTGCGCTTAATTCAAGTCATCAGCAGACGTGAATACAGCTGTGCGCTGACACACGCCTAGAAAATCTCACACAATAAGTCAGTAAACACTGCGACTGCAGTTTTTTGCACTCAGTCTGGTCATTTTGGACGACATGTTCCTCGCATAGCAAACGGAGCAGAAGTTGGGATTCAGTCCAGAAAAATTGCGACTCATCCATCTTGTGTCTCTGGCTCTGATTCAGTCCCATTGCCCTTTCTATTTTCACTTCTGAGCCATTTGTGTGTGTGTTTGTGTGGGCTTTCTTATGGAGAGTATTAAAACAAAGGAAGAAGAACGCAATGATCCGTTTCAAACAGCAAGCCTTTAGCTTGAAAACAGATTCCACGTCAGATGTTTTTAGCCGAACATTTGACTCTGCTCATCATTTTGAGGCTGCTGGTATCACATGGGTTGGGATGTTTTATATACTGTTGAGGTCATTTGGACCTTGGCTCTGAGTTACTATCTTTTTTGGAGTAGTGGAACCTAAAACCCTGAAAGGCACCGTTATTAGCCTTTATCTATCTTTGTTTTTGCTTGGGTGAGCGTGCATGAGAACAAGAAGTCCTCGAAATTAAATTAAAATATGCACCATCCTGCAGAAAAACACATCTGCCAGTACATGCCTCAAATCTGAGGGTGGTGGTGGAGGTTTTATTAGATTTCTCAGGAAAGATGAGGGTTTGCTTTACAGTAAGACAGAAAAATACAGTACATGCACTACCCCATCTAAAAATGGGGCAGGTGCAGGGCCAGAAGACGTATCGACACATGAAAAAGTCCAGCTTTACCTATTTATTATTAATATTATTTATTGTTTGGGATCATTATCATGATGAAAAATGAAGATGTTACCAATCAGATGCTTTTACCAACAGTTTTGACAACACTCGGTCCTAATTTCATGTGTAAAAAAAACGTATTTAGAGCTAACAGGAAAATAAACTGTTTTAAAACTACACTTCTTCACTCCTACATGTTTTGTTGACCCTACATGCACCCTGAGCTCCTCCGTACGCACACAGTGGCAATGTATAACATTAGCATACTTCCTCCTTTGCTGGGCTGATATTTAGCAATGTTGTTGTATGAAATAAAATAAAATAAAATAAAGAACTTAATATTAGTTTTAAGGACATTATAGCCTCTGACTTTTAGGTCTCCACATCATCATCATTTCCCACTAATGCATCTTTTTTTCTGACGATGTGTGTTTCGTGTGCGCAGGATGGAAGAGACAGTGCGGTCACTGCTGCAGAATCAGGGTGTCCTGGAGCAGACTGCTGTGGACACGGTGGACATCATGAAGGTCTACAAGGTAAACTCTCATTTAAAAATCTCATTACAGTGAGACTGTGATGCCAGTGATGGTCCAGAGAGAGGTTATTCTTAAAGCTGCTTCAATCTTAGGAAAAAGTACAGAAATAATGAAAGGACAAATGAAATTTGTTATTTTCAGAATTTATTTACTGACATGCAGTGATCATTTAGTAGAGACATGCGTCTTTGTCTTCCACTGTTTGTTTTTTCTTATTTAGCTGAGAGCCTGGGTATTGACTAAAGCCAGACTGAGTCAAGGTGAAAGAATTCATTCCCGGCCCTGTTATGTAAGAGAAATAGCTGCTGGGATTGAGCAGAAATGCAGAAAGAATAAGTAATACCGTGTATTTTTGAAGCTTGGGTCACCTTTGGGGTCTCACTTCACAATTTGGAGCTGAACATGTTTACACAGTGTTGCAGTGCAGAAATGCTTCGCTCGGTCTATCATCAGTGGGGCATTATCTGAGAGGCCTAACTATAGAAAACAAATGTTCTTTTGCCCCCAGCTATGTGTGCTGCATTCATTTGTAGTCTTGAAAATACTTTAGACTCTTAGAGTATTTATTAAGCCTCACTGGTCGTTTGTTTCTTATATGTCACACTAGGGGCACACGGTAACTACAGTGTCCATAAAGCAGCAGCCACATTATTGTCTTTAACTTCGAGCCGGTGAAATGAGAGTGAAATGCCTCGAGGGAGGAGAAGAAAAGGGCAGCCACTAGTTCATGAAGTATGCAATAAAAAGAGTGTCTTTATTAATGACTACATGTGTATATCACAAGACAGGAATAGATGCAGAAAAAAATCATCCTTGACTGATGAGTGCGAATCAAAGTGTCCCGAATAAAGAACAAGGATCGTAAAGTTCACTGTCAGTGGCTCTATTGCTTATGTATTCCACTGAGTACATGTGAAACATGGGTTTAGCAGCCATAATAATAGACTCATGTCTGAAAGTTGTCCCGAGGCGCAAAAGCTTCATCACAAAAATGCAACTCGACAGTGCAGTCTTATGAAATATATATCAAATGAATCCACTTTGTTAATATGCAGATAGCGTTGTCTGTTGTCTGTGCATATAAAATAAACCCTTAAAAAGGGAGTGTGAGGGGAAGAAACACTCAGTCAGTGGTGTTAAAACATTTGGGGTTCTGAGCATGAAGTACTAAATCTGCAGTTCGTCTAATGGCCACTTGAGGCTGTTCTCCAAAAGCAATTCAATTCACCCTGGACACCCATGTTAGAAAATACTTTACAGCTATAGAAAGCACATTTACAGTTTAATACAAGAGTGTTTCTGACTTCTGTGCTTCCTTCTTCACAAAAACTCTGAATGGGGTTAATTTTTTAATAACATTTGCTAACCTTTGGTTGTAGGTGGGATATGAACCTTACTCTCCCAAGTGAAACTTCTGTACTCTTTATCTAAAGCCTTAAAAGGAAAACAATAGACAAACTTGAAGAAACTCAAGAGCCAACTTCAATAAATTGTCCATCAAATACTGGAATTAGGGGTAGCAACTGTGCTAATGGATTCCTGCTACTACCCACTTCCACTAATTGGACTTAATTGGATCTCTCTAATGTTGTTGGCAATTGAATTATCTGAGGAAAAATATGACCTGCTGTGATGTATAGAAGATTGTGGCTTATGAATTAAGTTAGAGTATTTTATTACAGTGTAATTAAATCTATACCGTAGATACATCATAACCATTAACACCGAAGAAGCCCTATGCCATTTCCTGACATGCACCTCCATTGCCTCGATGTAGCTCAAAACACCTTTGATTGGCCTGTTTATGCATTTTCAGCTACTTCTTCTGCTGCCATTTTCAAAAGCGACTGTAAGATAAGGGATCAGTTTGAAGAGAGAAAATCAGCCACCAAATTGGTTTTTGGTGCCAAAAGTGCACGAACAGGTATAAATGCTGGCAACGGTATTGGCTACTTGCCTTGGCTCAACACAGAAGTCTAAAATAAGCTTTAGTCTCTTACTTAGGCACCTGTTATCAGATGGCACCTTGCTAACTACACTTGCTAGTGTTAGCTTATAGCTTAGAACTCGTTGTACTCCAAACATGGTAACTTTTGCCGTCAAAATACCAACAAGAATGCTAACACTGCAAAGTTTTTTAACTGCAGAAGGTGGAAATCTAGAAAAACCCATTGCAATTAAACAACAGGGAGACTCCCTTCTCAATTGTTCTTTGCCCCTCCTACCAGTCAGTGCTAATTTTTGTCTTCAAGTGAGATTTGAACTCTACTCTCCCAAGTGAAAGTTCTGTGCTCTTTATTTAAAGCCTAAAGACAGACCAACAGGAAGATCAGGAATCTATATCCCCCTCAAAACCTTAGCTAGTATATTCTGAAAGGCTACTATATATACAAGATATGTTTTTTATGGTAGCCTATATTGTACTACATTACCATTAGTATGTTAGCATGCCAGCTCTCTACATAGTGAACTGCTAGCTAGATTAAAGCAAATTAAAATGGATATACATCACATAAACCTTCATGGAAACGATCACAAAATGATAACAGATATATGAAGGACTTGGATTTCTTTATCTTTTTTAGCAACAGAAGTCAAAAATTTAAAAACAAGCTAAACTCAGTGATCTGCTGCTTGATGTAAACTGTAAACATTTCCTTATGTGATCAGCAGCGGATAGAGAATATACTTGGAGGGTTATTGTGCTATTCCCATATGCTGTATAACTAAACACCAGCCGCTCCTACGCAGTGATGTGCTCCTGCTGCCGCTGCTGTATTCTGTGTATTCAGCAGGCAAACTCAATAACTTGAAAGGGCAACGTGAGGGACAAAGTTCCCTCCCCTCTCCCACTCCAGACTCTCTCTGCGGAGATTATTACAGAGCCCTTTAACGCCGTCTGATGAGCAGTCTCTCAAATCACAGGCATCACAGGCGAACGAAAGCAGACTTAAAACCTTGACTATAAAGTATTGCCTTGAACACAATTGTCTGATGGAATCGAACAAGATTGAAAACCTAATACGTGTTTAGACGACATTTAATCAAGCGGTGGGGTGGGTATTCTGAAGGACATTATTTCCAATTCCTTTTAGAAGAAAGTAGCAGCTTGGTCTGTGCAGCTTTCAGATTAAAAAAAAAAAAAAGAGTTGCGGCTATTCATCTGTGATGCTAACCTCACTTTTGTTGAGCACATTAACCGCAGGTGTCTTCAGACTTCATCTGCTGAGGAGGAAAATTTTAAGGCACATGCACAGTGATATGTCGCACTCAAGTTCTTACTCTGCTCTTGTGACTTAGGATGCAATAATACCTTCATTGTCATCTAGCTAACATGTTATTAACATTTATTCAACACATCTTTTTACCAAAAGCCTGCAGTTAGTAAGTATAAAGAACTGCAACTAGGGATCACTTCAAGAGGTTTTAGGATCAATCTGAAGGGTCACAAGATGATGAATTTGTGAGGAAAAAAAAAGAAAAATGTGCATCAAATTTGGGTCTTTACCATCCAGCTTTTCCTCACATATTTATTTTATCCTGTGAATCTTTGCCTCTTTGAAAACCTGTTCAAATGAAAGAAATCAAAGACCACTGGGGGGAAAATTGCCCTAAATGATCAAGCACTGAGACACTGCTGATTTTAAAGAAATCAGCCACTCTTGAATATCAGATACAGCAAAGTATTTTTACTTCATTCATTTATTCAAGTGCAAGACTTATTGTAGGAAAATAACAATTATTTTCTCAAGAATCATCAGTATATTCAAGCTCTTATGACTGAGATCCTTACTGGACTCCTGAATGACCCAAACAAAAGTGCTTACAAATCTCCAGAACCAAGCACTGTATATCAAAGTTTCTAGCTTAACAGGATTAACGTGCTGTTTATCTTGTTGGGAGTTGGAAGGTGTCAAACTGTGTCAGTTAATTGAATTACTGTGATGTAGTAACAATGCAAACAGATAAATACCCAGTTTTGCATTTTTGTAAATGGTGAAACCTCTAATAAAAATTCCACTATATTTAAAAGAAATCGTCAATCGTCAGTCCACTAAATGTTATCGCCACAGGCCAAAGACAGAAAAGTCACCAAGGAAGTAAATGTCACCCCTTAATTGGCCAGACTGGATCCCTCATACCTGAGAAGGTTGCTGGAGGAGGATAGTACGCTGTTTATTTGCAGTTTATATATCAGGAACTATTCAACAGCACATTTTTGAGAAATATTTGCAGGCAGTGAAGTGAAATATTGGAAACACTGGTTGTTCTCGATTCTGTCATTATTTGGCTGTTTTTGTCCATACCCATGATTCTCTAGTAAAACTAGAATTTTACTAATTAAAACTCAGTCAGTCAGTTTTAGTTCGTATTACTGCTCAACAAGCACTATTATTTGTCGACTGACTTTTAGGGCCAACTGGAAGTTGATGTTAGAGGAAGTGCAGCTTTACTTGCCCAGAACTCCAGCTGGGCAATCACTGGTTGTGGGCAAGCACTGACTTGGTTTTCCTTGAAAGTCCAAAGACCAAATCTGAGTATATCTCATCAAAAACAATTATTATTTTCCCCCCAGGTTTATATAATTTTTCTTATTTCAGAAGTTATCTTATACTGGCTACTTCTTGTCTCTTACACTTATTAAGGTACGGTGAAATGCAATATTTAGAGAACATCAGTGCTCAAATTTTATTAACATGTTCAGCCTATGATGAGCGCTTGCAAAGGTCACCAGCTGCAAACACTGGAACCACTATTTTAGGTTTAAAAATGCCAGAGAGCGATGACTTTAATATCTAAACTACTGCCAAAGCAAAATTCACTTCAACTGAAAAGTGGAGTCAGATACTTTTACAGCTTTTAAAGTAAAAAATGCAGAACAAAGCGTGCATCAGAGTTTTCATCTAAGGTGATGTCTTCAAATTGTTTTCTCAGACAAACACAAAAGCTGGAACAATCCACTTTGGGGCTTTTTTTCTTCTTTAAAATTCAATGACATTACTATAAATTGTTTGTTTTGTTTTTCAGCCCTTGTAGCAAAGAAGCAGATGATCTTTTTCCAGCAAATATTGATGAATAGATGTTTTCAGTAAGCATCTAATGTGAGGCTCCAAAGATCCCTTGAAAAGCATGAATAGTGTTCTAACTGTGACCAAGAGTTTGTTTTTAGCAGTTTGGCGCTAGCCAGACAGTACCTCATTATTAGCTACTTATAACCAGTGTTTAATTATCACAGATGCCAGGAAACACCAGAAGAGAAAAGATTGCTGGCAATGAGACTGCGTGAGACAGACACTGTGTAAGGGCAAAGAGGGAGAGCACAGGATCCCCATTATACAGAAAAGAAAGCCCCTGAAGGTCACTGCCACTCTTTAGAAAACAAGAGAAACATGATTAGGGATTATGGGATGTTTTGGAGCTCTGTTGTTGAAGCTGCTTCCCTGTTGTCCCATCTGCCCATCTGATCCTCTCCCCTTTTCCTTTCTTCTTCATTCACTCCCTCCTTCCCTCTGAGTTCTGCCTTTCACGCCTCCTTAACCGTTTTACCCTGAAACATTTGTCATACCTCTATTTTCAATTCTTTCCTCCCATCTGCTCTGCTTTTTGCTCGCCAAATTCATGCTTTGATTTTCTGTTCCTTATTTCCCCCCCCCTCTAACCTCCTTTCGCTGTCTGTGCGTCAGGATAAACTCTCTGAGGAAGTGCAGAAACAGCACGACGGCCCAGTAGAGAAGGGCTCCCTGCCGGTGACTCAAGCAGAGCTGGACCCCAGGCTGCTGCTGAATCCTGAACATGATGCCAGCCAAGCAGAAGAGGATAAAGACAAAACCAAGCTCCTGCTGGAGCGCCTCAAGGCCCTGGAGGTACTAACTCGCCACCACGCATTTCTGTTGTCTCTTTAAGTCTCTCCTGCTTTGAATTTTTCAGCTTTCTTTTTCTCTCTGCCTACCTCCTTTTCCTTCTCAGTTTTCTTTATTCGTGCCTCTGTATACTTCTTGTATCCATACTCCTAGCCACCCCTGGCTATCCTTTGTGGCCAGCCCGTCTGACAGTTGTCAGAGTCCTTGCTCGGTTGTGTCTGAAAGCATGACAGCTCATCAAATTCTCTGGTCTCCTTCATTTGGAGAGCAAAGTCATCCTGTGAGAATCGTCGCCGGGGCCTCGGGCTGTACTCCAGCTTTGGTTTGTTTTCCTCTGCGCTTGGGGATTTGGGCTATACTCCGCCACGAGCCAAAGCAGCCAAAGCAGATGCTCAGCCACAGCGATCTACACTGTTTGTTTTTTGTGCTGAAGCCACTGGACACATATCCGCTCAGATCTCTTCAGTAATTAAAGTGCTCAGGCTTAATTAAGTTAGGCTTTTAGTCTTCACTGATACACTCCTAAGTGGCTCCACGTGGCTTTTTGGTTTTGGTGTGGTGAAGGGTGCGTGGCACTCGGTCTTACCCCGAGTCATGTCACTCATTTCATATATTATCATCCCAGTGAGTGGATGTCATCCTTTGTTATTTGTCACATGCATACGGCCAGGAGCTGCCCTCTTCTACCTTCTAGTCTGGCTCAGGAGGCTATTATCCTCCGCTGCATCAGTGATAAACAGAGAGCAACACAGATTATCTAGGAGGAAGTGAAGAAGTAGAAGTAAATGTCATGACCATTTCCTAACCCCAGCCAGACACTTTGGTGCCTAAGCTTAACCCAGGGGTCTCAAACTTCCAGCTCCAGAGCCACATGTGGCTCGTTTATCCAATTCCAGCAACTCTTCTAATGACGGTAACAAAATAATTTAATTATAAAAATGAACAAAGAGGTTTGTTGCTTTGCTTTTTTTTTAAAGATAGTTTTCTTACTGGTGTGCTTGATCTGTGCACTTCAGTTATAATTGAAATGAAAATGTTACTTTTTACTAAAGCTATTATGCTACATAGAGCACGAGCGATATAGCATTTTTACAACTGATATCGAGATTTGGTGATTTTAAAAATCTGATATTTTATTTCTTTTAGACACACATTACAGTAAACTAATTTTCCAAACATATGTTATGCGTAATGATTAATCATTATTAAGGTAATATGATAACACAGTTTAAACATGATCTTGTTTTATTGGCACGGCTTGTCATTTACTCGTTTATGCTCAGCTTGGATCATCTGGTTATTGTTTGTGCCATTCCAAACACATTAAAGAGAGGCTGCAAAGGGAGTGCCCTCTGGTGGACAAACTATGTAACATCAACATTCTCAACATGGTTGAAGGGTGTTTTTTCTATCCCTGGTTTACTTTTTAAATTTTCATTTATTGGCCTTTATAAATAGCAAATCCAAAATAGCTACGTTCAGTCGATAATATCAGCCCAGCAGATATATATCAGTCATGCTCTAATGCTACATGTTTTATTAATCAAAAGCAGGCTTGAAGTAGGCCTTTATATGTCAGTAGGTTTTTTTAGTTATTTCAAATATAAAAACTTATTATATATAACAAGTACACAGTATTGCACCTATTACTTATGTTAATAGTGTAATATGTATTTAGCTGACTTCATTATAACCCCACACACAGCAGTGTCTCCATACAGCTTGTTTAAGCCAAACCTTGCTAAAAAGTTGCTCTTTTGATAGTAAAGGTTGTTGACCTCTGATATAAACAAACAGCGCACATATTAAATAAAAATAGAGTGAATAAAATTGAAAATAAAAGGCAAGTTGTTAGAAAGCTTGTATAAAAAAATTGTTTTGAGCTCTGGATTAAATGGATAAAGCTTCTACCACCATTCATGCTTCATTCTGCTGAATTTGGTTGCTGTTTTCTGCCCTTTGCTTCTGTTTCACTTGGTGGAGCAGCTTGCATTTAATGAGGTGGCAATTACCTACTAGATACTACAGAGTACCTACTACTCAATTTAATGGGTTCAAAACAAGTGCTCACAAACATTTTTGTGTACACAGGCTGATAATAAAACAATCCAAATATTTCAGCAGATGCCATCTAACAATTAAAACAATCCAAATGCGTGTAGAAAAATAAAGATGACACTTTGGTAGCAAGAAAGACACATGAAGGAGAAAGAAGTGAAAAAGTAAAAAAAGTCCTCAGAGTGTATTTGATCTTTTCTTCCTTTTGTTTGTTCATCCCTGAAAGAAAACAGACCCTAATTACAGCAAAGTGGCAGATAATTGCCTGCCTGTTGCTCCTCCAGCGGTGAGTTATCTTCTGAGACTGGCGAAAAGTATGGTCAACCTGTCCCTGCGATCCATCTGGTGAAGCGCATTACGGAGACGCTACATTTTAAACAGCTTTATCAAAAGTTATCTGCCGTTTTTATTCCTTGCTGCTGTGTGGGTGATGGATGCACCCCCAGCTAAAGCAGCAGGAACAAAACAGAGGCAATACATCACTGCCCCTCATTGTGCATAAACTCCACTGGCACTAAGTAAGCACCGCCCGGCTCCTGTTTCTGTTTCTCTTCATTAACTTGGCAGGCACGTGCTGCAGTCTGTAACCGGGGCCTAAATGAATACACATAGCACATTCTGGGAGAAATGGCCACTGGTCATTTTACTGATTAGGTGATAAGGGCATTAAAGCTAAAATTACCCAGGAGTCCACACCTGACAAACACAACCTGATAAATATTTACCAAAGACCCAAAAATGCAAGCGTGTGAGCCTGTTGTAAGACGTGTCAGGGTATATACATTATATATGGATTAGGTTGAGTCTAAAGATGTCTGTACTTCACATATTGGTGGATAAACTGGATAAGCTATAGGTTTGTAATTGCTGTAATATTATTTGACAGCATAGATATATTCCTATCAGCTATGTAAATTGTTTTGATTTTACCCATGCCAGTTCATTACTAGGAAGCACCAAATGACAGGGAGATAAAGTAGAGTACTAGTTGATGAAGAAAATGACTAAAGAGCTAAAGAGCCAAAGAAATGTTCTCAGAGAATGTTGGGCCCCAAAAAATAGAGCATAAAGAAGAGTCGAATCCTTAAATTATTAGTCACTAAACAGTGAGAAAAAACTACTGTCAAAAGAAGATTAGTATCCCATGTACAGTAATTTGAATTTTGCAGTTCTGTTCTGGAACATTCCCACCCTCACATTTACGTGCACTATATGAACTAAAGTGCTAGGCCACCTACACTTCCAGGAGCTGCTCAAGCATAGAAACCCACACCATTAACATGAAGGGTTTTTTTAAGTCCCATTGCCACAGAGGTATAAAATAAAAGATTAAGCTGTGGAACCCAATAATTTTGTCCCTACAGTGTAGATTGGAAGCATTAAAGGTCCACAGCAGGTCCAGTACAAAGCAGGCATCAATGATAATAGGCATGCCATTTGTTATGTCAGACTTTACTCAGCGTTAAATGGAGAAAATGGGGTTCAGTGGGGTTGCAAAGCGGCTTGCAGATGCAAGTTAAATAGACTTTCATGACTTCTATGGGCAACATTAAAGGTGATTTAACTTCCAAGTTTGAAAAATGAAGCCAACGTAGTAGTGCCTTAAACCTACATTCTTTTAAATAATCACTAGGGGGCGACAGCTCTGGTTGCAAAAAAACTTCCAATGCTGTAGATGTCTGTGGGAAAACGCCCCTCAGCCCTGACCTGTGTACACACTTTCCAGATGAGTTAATGAGCTCAGTCATTCATTTTGGATTGTATAAATTATTTAAATTAATTAAATGTATTTTCTAAATTATGGTCATTCTAAGGATGAGAAGCACATTAAATGTTTCACTGTTAGATGCACCCCTCGCTGGTTTCAAAACAGCGGGATGGTAACCGTGACAATATTTCAAACCAGTGGGTGATGTCATGGTAGCTATATTGGTCTTTTGTACTGTCAGTGGTGACTTCAGATGAATCCTGTTTCATTTCTAATGACAACAAACAGCTTTAAAATGGCCCAAAATAGATTTTTTTCACATAACATGAGCATTATTAAATAATCGAAGGTTTTTAGAGATTATATTATTTAGGCGTCTGCTCTGCCCCAAGTCATGAATAGATTTTAAAGTTAGTTACAAGAATTGTTATTTACACTGACATTATGACTGCAGGGTTGTTGTGGTGTTATAATAATACACTGAACTATGGCAGAATATGATAGCGGGATTACACGGTTTGACTGAGAAGGTTTATTGTCAAATTTTTAGTGCCTGTTGTGCTGAGTTGTACTATTTTCAATGACAGACTAATCCTTTTACCTTGATTCTTGGTCTCAGAAAGCATCATCCCTGAAAAATATTAAATTCCAGTCTCAACACAAAGAAAGTTAATTTTCTGCCACCTGCCAAGGATGTGCTCCCGCTTAAGTGTTTTCCCTGGTGTAGACACCTCAGAGCCACCGCTAACAGTGACATAACTTAATACAATGAAATGTTTTTACTATTTTGGCATAGTAACCTTGAAATTAAATGCTATATGATTATTTAATATAATATTTCTGGTGTCTTCTGAGGGGCAGGAATGTAAATAATCCGTCCAAACCGTGCTACCTCACAGACCTAAATGTCACATGCATGTGTTTCCATGTGCAGCCCTGTTGCTAAGAGAGCGGTGCACTTCCAGGTTGCTCATCTCTATAACTACAGCACAAAGAAAGAAGGACACAAGCACGTCCAGTCGCCAACACTTACAGACTTGCATGCCACTAAAACAACATAGCAAAACTGATTTTAGGCTGAGCGCGGACGTGTCAGATAGCGCCTCATACTGAAGCTTGAGTTAAAGAAAATGAGCTGCCGTGTAGGCGAGGCTCTGGTTAAATCATCACATATTTTAAAAAGTCATGCTCATTTCTTTTTGGGTGTGAATAAATGGGAGCTGATTTATTTGTTTTTCTCCTTCTGCAGTTAATGATGGGAATATGAGTCTTCGCTGGCACATTTGAATCATAAATTAAGTTGTGTAACAGTGATAAATACACTGTCAGGGGGATTTCCCAAGCTAAATGCATCTCTTGAAAATAGAAACTAACACATGAGATGCTCGAGCTCTCTTTAATTGCTCAGGCCATTCATTAGATTTGCACTCATAACCACACGTTGCAGGCTTTGAGGCTTTAATTAGTCAGTGTTTCTTCGTAAGACAGCATCGTTGGACTGTTTTGGGTTGTAATCATGTTTCCCATGTTTTCATCAAGGGATTGGTAGTTTCTAGTAAAGGGCAGAGGGCGAGAGAACCAAAGAGTCTGACAGCTCCTAATATGCTGCCTGCCTCTGACAAATTGGAAACTCCCAAAGATCAATAGGACGCCACCTCATCGCTTGGCAAGCAGAGGAGATATTCTTATTAGGTCCGGGCTCCAAACGGCTAGCTGCCGCCCCAAAGTTCAGCATCATAACTTCCATCCCCTTGACCTTTTTCTCAGTTGCACTTGGTAAATTTTTATTGGCTGTCCTGGTTCAAAGTTGACATATGACCTTTGTGAGGGAAGTCTCAGTCTTAGCCGGAGCAACGCTTGATTGCCGCTCCTGTCTCTGTTGTTTTTTGTTGCATCAAACATAACTGGAGTGTGTGTTCTTTGCAGGAGGAGAACTCCACCCTGGCCTTAGAGAATGAGAGTCAAAGGGAGCAGTACGAGCGGTGTCTCGACGAGGTGAGTGCACACCTTGTTTATCTTTATTCATTCCAGGCAACATTCAAGGACGTTGAGTGGCTTGTGAGATGTTTTACTTACCTTGAAACTGAATTTGTTTTGACAGAATAAAATAAATTGTATTGTGGACCTGAAGATTAAGGTTTTAATGAGGTCCTGAGCCATGCTATGGTTATCTTACAGCTTGGCAATTTACTCCAGCCACAGCTCGAGGAAGGCTGGAGAGAATTTGTTGATAATGACAATCAATTTTATTTTTCATGCAACTAAATCTTAACGCACACTCTTTTATCTGACATTTTTTGTCTTTTCACATCCTCTGTTTACTTTTAAACTGTTAAGTAACAACACACACACATTTACATAACTCTATACTATCCAGGCTAAATTAATAGAAGATATGATAGTTAATAGCAGTTGCCTTTGGAATTTTGTTATGTCTATGTCTGCACTATATGTCAAATAAAGAATCTAAAACTTCACAACTACATGGATACTACTTATTTTCCATACTATTAGCAGCTGCAGTATACAGCGCAAGTAGCTGGTAGGCCATCAACAGTATATCTATATGATGCAAAGACAGGAAGGAAGTGAGGAGGAAGGACATGAGGATAGGCAGACAGTAGGTGTGACAGATGGGTTCAAATTGGAGGTTGGGATACCTGATAACAATTTTCTAAAATTGAAATTCAAAGACACAACTAGAATTTCACTCATCAAAACTGAAGCATAGACTTCTTTACAGGCTGTCAATACAGTTACCCACACATTAAGCCGTATTATTTGACAACTAGTTGCATAAAAAATACTCCAAAAAGCACCAACACCACAAAGACAGCAGCACAAAGTATCTGAAATTAAGCCTAGTGGACAGCTAGCAGCTAGGTAGGCACTTACTTTTTCCTTAAACAAGGCCAGTTTGCAACAATGTATAATTTTAGCATTATGATAATACCCCATTCTTTCTTTCTTTGGTTTTGTTTTTTCATGCTATAATTCACCAGGACCTAATGCTAGCTAGTGTGAATAGCATAATACACAACAGAAATGCGGTAATCAGTGCTAAAAATGAAATACAAAGAAACTACTAGAATTTCACTCTTCGAGACTGATGCACTGAAGTACAATTATACACACATTAAACTGTAAAAGGCACTAACACTACAAGTACAGTCACTCAAATTAGCTTAAGCTAAGCTTATCGTACAGCTGTTATAGCATACGGCTGGTATCCATCCCTCTGTAAAGTTCTCATGGAAGCTGAAATTATTTATAGAGCCCAAAATGCTTCTTGCATTAGCCTTTAAACATGTTTATTTCTGCTGTAAAGTTGGTTATTTTAATATGAAAATCTGTGGGGATTGACTCATACTTGGTGCCAGCTTCAAGTGGCTATTTGAGGTACTGCAGTCTCTTTTGCTCCTTAACTACTTATTTTTCCTTCTTTTTGTAACTGTAACGTGCAGTTAAGTGCTTGTGATGCAAGTCTGAAATGTCAGCTTGTATGTAGCTTCATCCTGACATGAACCGGTGTTTGTGCAGAAATAGTTTACATAACAATATCACTTCTGTGCCCTCTGGTTATTTTGCGAGAGCTTGTTAAGCACTGTTTAGGGAGCTACATGAGGGAAATGAAGCAGCCCCGGCTCTGGGCTGTGCCTGCTTGCTGAATCACTCCGGGATGGAGGGAGCGCTGCTAAAGGAAAGCATGTCCAGCAGGGACAAGTCGCCCAATTTGTCCTCAAACCGACAAGCTCAGCAGACTGAGCAGATCTGCCGCAGGGTGGGAAAGACTGGTGAGAGCATAAGGGGAAATAAAAATGAGAGGGGGTGAGGAAGAAGATCGAAAGTTAAAAAAAAGAAAAGAAAGTACAGGGAAGCGGGGCCATTGTTATACAGAGCTGCATCCTCGATGGATTGCATCTGGAGTAAACTCAGCCTTCGTCTCCTTTCTGCTTCCCTGCTCTCACTAAGATGGCTCAGCTCGGTTTTGTTGTGTTTATTTGTCAACTGTTTTCCTTTGTGGTTGGCTTTCGGTGGAAGGACGGCTTAGCAATAATCCTGTTTTAATGATGGAGACTGTGTGCGCCCCTCTAACTAGAACAACAGTGTAACAGAAGGGATGATTATTTTTTATGTTACACCAGCTGTCTGTGTGAAATTTTAAAGTCGTTTGTTGTGTTTGTAACTTGTTTCCAGGACGTACAGCGTGCGCAAGTTCACATCCTCTGTCAAACACCATTAACTCCAGTTTGTTTGATCACAAGAGGCAGATCTGTAACTTTGCGGTTCCACAAGCAGGGCTCATTTTGCTATGTTTACCCCCATCTCTCTTCGTTCAATAAACGAGAAACGAGGCGCTCGAAAGAGCCGATGGGGCTTCACGGGGTATTAATGAGCAATCAATGGGCAGTAATCGTAGACGCTCCTCCATCGGCGTTGCGGTCTGAAGTGCGAACCGCTCTGAGACCAAGACCCGGGCACAGCAGCACTTAAGTCAGGCACACCTCTGGTACCCTACATCAACCAGGCACTGTCAATACCACCATTATGCTGTGAGAGCTCAACATTGTCTGCACGAGTGTGTAAAAGAGACACACACACCCAATAGCGGAGGAAAAATGTGCAATGTATTGTGCCACAGCGGTTGCTTGGGCTCATAATAATTCATCCGAGGTGTAAATTGGCTGAGGAAGTACAAACACTCCAAAGTGCAGTGTAAGGGTTTCTATAGAGGCCCGGAAGGGTCATATGAGGTCAGGACTTTATTATGGTGCCAAAGCAGATAAATTATATTCTGTGATGTTTTCTTTTTCTCTTTAAGGTTGCCAATCAAGTCGTGCAGGCGCTTCTAACCCAGAAGGTTTGTTACTTCTTTTTCTCTTAATGCATGCTAATATAAATTAATGGATATACTCTCAGTGTTGTTCTAACTGTCATGTGAATTTTACACTCAGACGATGCTCTTTCTATTTGTCCTCCTGAATCAGGATCTGAGGGAGGAGTGTCTGAAGCTGCGAACAAGGGTTTTCGATCTCGAGCAGCAGAATCGGGCGCTCGGTGTTTTGTTCCAGCAGAAGATCAAGCCGGCCTCGGACCTGCTTCTCCAGGTACGCTGCCCTTCCCAGAACCTACCCTCCTGTCGATACACTACATTGTAGGTGATCAAATGGCAGGAAATGTATCGTTAAACAGGTAAAGAACAAAAAACAAAGAAGAACAGAGTGTGTTCCTCCCCTCAGCCGACCAGACCGGTCGCTGCAGATGGCCGCCCCTCCCTGAGCCTAAGGGAGGTTTCTTCCTGTTAAAAGGGAGTTTTTCCTTCCCACTGTTGCCAAGTGCTTGCTCACAGAGGGTTGTCTAATCGTTGGCCTTTCTCTATATTTTTGTAGAGCCTTTGTCTTTCAATACAAATCACCCTGAGTTGAATGTTGTTCTAATTTGGGGCTATATAAATAAAAGTGAATTAAAAATACAGAGGAGTTCATGGTCCACTCAGTGACTGTAAGATGTCCAGGCCCTGTGGCTGATGATCAGTTAATCGAGTGCTTTAACCCTCTTAATGTGAAGCAGTAAGGAATGATTTAGTTTGCACAGAGCTGCAGAGAGTCCTGTCATATGCAAGCTTTGCAGGATTATACCGTCCTCAGCTACTCCTTTGCCAGTATACTTTTATTTTAGTCTCGCTACTACCACATAAATGTTTTAGTAATGCACAAAGTACTGTATATAGATATTTGAACTCAAACATAAGTCTTTGCTCTGGCTTCTCCAATCGAAACAGCCACCTCCTCAGGTTACTGGAACAGTTTATGTCTCCTGTTGCTCAGACAAGTTACTGGCAAACTTGAGCAGCAGACTGAATATCATATTATATAGTTAAATTTTATAGTTATTAATATTATTTATCCTGAAAAAAATTCAAGGTATACATTTTAAACATTAAGTAGGTCAGTTTGGGGTCCTATAGTTTTAGCCTGAGTTTGCATATCCACACTCAAACATGGTGGAAAGAACTCCAGTAAACGACCCTGAGTACTTCTTCTCATGCATTTGAAGTTGTTTTCCATTTTTAGTTGTTTTTAAAGAGCTTTGGGGTCCTAACCAGAGAAAGAGACTGCTAAAAAAGAAAAGAAAAATAACCCGTAAACACTTTGATTGTTTACGGGTTTACATCTTTCTCTCTAAGCTTACATATGTGCCGTTTAATGTTACTTTTATAGTTTTATGTTGAGGATTCACATGAAATCGGGTCTCCCTGCAGCACGGCTTTCTACATTAAAAACTATGTTGGAAGTCTTTAAATGGCAGATACAAACTTAAAACATCTCCTGCCTTCCCCCAAAGTAGAGCGTCTTCCCTGGTGCCCTCTTGAAAACAAATCCCCTCCTCCAAATCAAAATAACACACTTCACATAAGTTCTGAAATGTTTGCAGCGCCAGGGCTATAATCTCCAACTCTCCACATCCCACAAACAACAAAGATTTGAACCCTGTAGCCATCACCAAACATCACTGTACTTGTACACCCCATAAACCCTATATTCTCTTAGCAGGAGTGGGTGTTTTTTTCTCTCCTTTTGGTCCCAATTTACTGAAAAGTGTCCATGTGTCCATCCAGCAGACTCTGTAAGGTGTAATTATGAGGCTGACGGACCTGCGGCTGTGTTTTTACGCAGCTATTGTCAACCATGATACGAAGTCAGAGGGGAATATGATGAGTTCGGAAAGTGGAATGTCACATAATTGTGGCTCTTTCGGGAGAAAGAAATTATGGGTAGATAAGGAAAAGGAAGGACATGAGAAAGCAAAGCAAAAACAGGAAGTGGTACAAATGCAGAAAATGAATTTAAAAAATGAGGAAAGAGAACTAATGTGGTTGTAGGCGTGTTAGAAAGATCCTTTCAAGGTACTTCTGCTGCCATTAGCAGACAGGCAGGAATATTGTTAAGTGAAAGTGCAATATAAAAGGCTGGAAGAAGGATACTGCCGACACCGCAGCGGAAACCAAAGAGGTGCAATCTCACTGAAGAGGTGTATTAAGGCACTCAGGAATATGATAGAGTTTGAGATCAAGTTCAGTCGTTATTGAGATCCCATGCGGGTAATTGGATTGCGGCGTATTGCTTTATATCCCTCTGGCATCCAGCCGAGACTGTTTTTCTTCTTCTCTTTCCGGCGTGATTCAGACATTATGAGTACGTACGTAACGTAAGGCAGGTGAAAGGAACATAATCATGTAACGTGTGCGTGCTACAGTGCTGTTTGTGTGGTTTCTACAAGCGTGTGGGTTTTTGTCCGCTCATTATTTAATAGCAACATTTTAACCATCATCAGGGTGATTCAATGTAAGAGTTAATCATAATGTGATCACGCCTCTCCGGATGCTCGGCGTGTCCTTTATGAGGGCTTCAGTCGTGTGGGAGAGCTGTTAAAAACAGCTATATTTATCCACGTCACAAAGGCTCGGGACTTCCTACGGAACAGCTATATTTTTATCTGTTGTGCTGTATAATTATTATTTTTATACTTATTTTTTGCAGAGTTAGATAAGAAGATCGAGGCCACTTTCTTATCTTCCTGTTCATTGTAACACTACAACCATAGACTCTATAAAAGACGGATTTAGCTGCTATTCATGGGTAGTAGTGGTGGTGAAGTCACTCTGAAGCCTCGAGCTGAGCATTTCCTGTTGTTCTTATCTTAGTGTTTTCAAACCAGATGTGACAGCTGAGAGGCAGAACCAACCAAAAAATGAGTACAATGAGCATAGCCAATGAGCATACCCTTGATAATCCTCCTTTCTGACTCCAATAGTGACCATGAGCTACAAAATGAACTTTGTGTTTTATTTAATAACGCCTGAAATCAACAATTGAGGCCATTAAGTCATCAAGAAAGTGTTTATGGAGGTCCCAGAACAAGGGAGCTTAGACTTCAATGCTTTACCTCACCCCCAACCGATTGTGACAGATGGCTGCCCCTCTTTGAGCCTGGTTCTGCCAGAGATGTCTTCCTGTTAAATGGGAGTTTTTCCTTCCTGCTGTTGCCAAGTGCTTATTCTTAGGGGGTCGTTTGATTGTTGGGGATTTCTCTGTATTGTATTGTTTCTCTGTATTGTTGTAGGATCTTTAACTTACAATATAAAGCACCTTGAGTTGACAGTTGTTGAGATTTGGGGCTACAGAAGAATTGAACTGAGCTAAATTGAATTAAATATACAACCAGAATGTCATGGGCATTCTGGTTGTATAGATGGGCAGCCATCTGTCACAATACATAATGAACTTGACATTCATTATTGTGTATTTCTGATACACAATACACACGGTCTGCCCCCGCAAACCGTGACACAGAAGTCTGTGTGTTCTTCTTATAAAGAATACAGGATTTGTGTTAGCACAAAGCTCACAACTACACTACAAAATGTTACATTTATTAAATATGGTCAAATGGAATATACTGCATTGGTACGCATTCACTTTATATCAAACACATTTTCCTTATTAATTAAACATTTGAATGATTTGATTGTTTCCTCTGACTGGTCTCTGGGCCTATGTTACTGGGGCCTCAAATAAAAGCTAGTTGATAGTTAGCTTAACCCTCTCCTCCCCCTTTTTAATGGATTACACATTTAGTGAAGTTGAAAAATGCAAGAATCTTTTTTTTTTTAACATAGCTTCTCTGTTTACCGCTGACGTGCTAAGCACAGTGAACCAATTACACATTCATCTTATAGAAATGAGGCTGTCATTATTTAAATAGTCATAAATACTCAGTTGAGAAGTCTGCGTAAGCGTACAGCAAAGGATAACAAACGGGTTTGGATTTTGTATCTGTCAGATTACAGATAGATTTTGTGTTCAACTTACTAAACCAATTGAGCTGAATTACTTAGGAGAATATGAAAATAACCGGGGTGAGTTTTCATTTCTTTTCTGTCCTACGCCCTCAAGCCGAGGGAGACTTAATCACCGATATGAGTGTACAGTTTCCCATTTAGCTCTGGACCTTTTTGCTTATCAGTAATTAAACGTTCCCCAGTTCCCCGTGGGCATCTTGAGTTCCTCTGATAAAGAACCATAATGCATTTGATAGTGAATGCACCGTTTGTGCACCTTCGCTGCCTTCAGCTGAAATGTTTTTGTGTGAAAATGCCACATATTCATTTCTGACATCCACATGTTAAAAAAAACAAAACAAAAAGCAAGATTTCTCAAACTCTGCACTACGACCAGCTATGTGTAGTACCAGCCACTAATGCTGCTCGGGCTAGTAGCAATTGAGTCACCCATTACTGGGACAAATGCTTGTTTTCTTTTTCAAACCTAAGAGCCCCAAGGACACAACATGCATGCCGTGACCTCATTACTGCTCATGCGGTTGTGAAAAAGTTGTAAAAACTTTGTGCACAGAAGAAAAAAAGAAGTTTGCAATAGCAGATTTAAACAAATACTCTTCCACAAACATAAATAACAAAATTTGCAGAGTGGAGCTTTAGAATGTCTGTTTTTAATGGAGCTCCATATATCTTACTTTATTATATTGCAGCGGAGCATTTGTCTTAGTTCCAGCTACAGTGCAGTGGGCAGTGTGTAGCTGGAAATTTAGGAAGAGCCTTTGTGATGAGTCAGACGTATAGATCAGGTCATGCAGGTGAGCATTATGTGGATGAGTAGGTGTGTGTGTGTTGTGAATTAATCTGCGAGCACGGCTTTTCTCTCTTGTGCATGTGTGGGTGTGTTGCAGGACGATGTGTTTTTGACAGCGAGTGCCAATACTGACGTATTTGTTTGGAAGCTATTCTGGGCCGACGTTCATTATCTTGAAATATGACCACTGTCAAAGCAGAAAAAAAGCAACAACAAAAGAACAAAAGCAGGAAGGCTTTTTCCTTCTGTTCAGTATATCTTGAAAAGTTTGGCTCCCAGACTAATGAAGTTACTCCAGACGTTAGCTAATAGTCAATAAAAGGCCATTATTTGCATGATATATTGCAGTCATCCCTGCATTAATGGGACAATTTACATTTTTCACTTTGAATGTCAAAAAGTTCAAGAAGCGTACAGTCGGCCTTGTCAGCTAGCATTTCCTTCACCTATCTTTCCCCCCGTGACCCTGTGACACTATTGACTGAATCGTTGATGAGGATGCTGAGGAGGTGAAATCCAGCACCGTCATGATAAGATCAGAGCCCCCCCGTGACAGCTCAGCCACTCCCATCCTGTGTGGACAGCATCCAGGCCCGGCCGTGTCGCATCAGAGCTTCATACACAGTTATCTCTGTGGACAGAATAAAATAATAACCAAACAATGTTTATTTAGATGGTGCCTTTTACAAGCAAAAACTGCAAAGTGCTTTATAGACAATAATCTAAATTTTAAATAAAAGGAAAAAAAAGATCAACTACAAATACTGCACATTTATTAAAACATGGTTAAGAGCACTGTGAGGGTGAAAAGGTTTAATGTAAAAAAACACAAAAGCAGAAATGGAACGAAGCCGGTTGCTAAAATAGCAACGAGTGTTTAGCTTGACGCAGGTCGGTCACTGTGACCTCGGCAGCTCAAACACCGCCTGTTCTTAGTGAGATTATGTTTAACAAAAGATAATTTTAGATAAAAAATGTTACAAGGAAAGTGTGAAGAACTAAAAGATTAACAAAGTAAAATGACAATTACAGAACCTGAACTGTATTTTTTTTCACAAAACAAAATAAACTCAAATCCTGTAGATGTTTTTTCATCTGTCTTAAATTAAAACTGTTTCGATATGGTTTTGATGTTTTCTTGATGAAACATTCGTTGAAAAAGGTTGTCAGCTTTGTTTTTTTAACAAACCATGTGAAAAAGACAGCTTTTTATTTAAAAACCTAAAACTATCACATATCATAATAATAATAATACTAATTAGGCCGTTTATACTGCACAATAATTAAAACATGCTTAAGAGCAGTACAAGACAAAGTTTAGACACAGAAGCAGAACTGTCACAAACCCGGGTACAGAATTACCCGAGTCCTAGCTGGCACAGGCTGATCACTTTGACCTCAGCAGCTCAATCGCCGTCTGTTCTTGGGAACAGTGGGATTGTGTTTAACAAACAGTTACAAACAATTTTACAGAACCTGAGATGCACTGTATTTTGACAAAACGAAATGAACTCAAATTTTATTTTATCACGTTTAGTCCTGTAGAAGTTTCTAATAATTAGTTTTTCAGCAGTTTGTCGGCTTTTAAAAAGAAAAGTGAAAATTGCATATTTTTTATAAGACAAGAATTTGCACTTAAAATATATTTTTTTTATTTAATCAAAGAAAACCCCTAACTCTCTGATGCATTTTTTTTATATGTTAGGTTTTTTTTGCTCTTTTGCTCTTTTGCTGTTAATGCCTTAACACACACACATACAGACATATATATATATATATATATATATATATATATATATATATATATATATATATATATGCCCAAACTAGTACAACTGCACGATATTACTACTACTACTTTTGCCTTTATTTGCTTTTGAAAGAATGTGATCTCCTAAGCTTTCCAGGGCACAGAACAAACCCTTTATATTTATAAATCTGATGAGTGTTCGGCAAGATCATTTTAAAAGTTAAGTTTTGATCTGTAACAGGCAAAAAAAAGAAATCCTCCCTGTAGCTTAACTGTTTTTGAACTCACTGAAACCTGAACACGTTAGAAAGAACTCTGTGCCAGCATCTAAAGCCGGATGCTTTTATAAATCTTACAAATGGTAAAGAATACGGTCCTTACACAGTCTGTTCAGAGGAAACATGGAAAATGGGCATCGATCTGTTTCCATGGCAAATTACCACCTTGTCGCTGATGGTACAAAAATCAGTCACGCTAACAGCTTATTCACAGGCTTTCTCTAATACAAAAAGCAGCTTTTCTTTTGGATTTTTTTTTGTCTGAAGTTGGAGTGAAAAATCCACAATGAATGCAACACAGGTTACTTGTTCTAAAGAGACAAAAGAAAGCAGGGAAGTTTTGGTGTCATTAGAAGTCGTGTATTTTTTCTTTTCACAAGTCGATATACACAGTCGGGAAAGAGGTTTATGGAAGTAAATAAAATGGAAACCATTTTTATTTTAAAACGTTCATGCCATTGAAGGAAAATTTGAGGAGATCATTTTCAAAGCTCAGTTTCCATTTACCGTGGGTGACTTTTGCTTTTATAACACCCAATTTATTTTCTTCAAGGGGTGCACAGCATGTGAGTCGCCACTTACTTTAATGGTAGAAACTGAATTAAAAAACAAAACAAAAACAAAAGAAAACAAAGCGACCAGTGCGTAGAAGCACATGCATATACTCCCTAAGTGAGCATTAGTTCTACCCTTGGCAGGAAATGCAGCACAAGATCAAGTGTTCTGTTCCTGCAGATTTCTAGTTTAAGTTAATTTGAGCTCAGGGAATCCAGTGTAATTAAGTTCTGGGATTAATATGTGGAAATGTATTTGGTTTTGTATCCTTCCCTCTTAAGCATGAGAGTGAAATAACAGAAGAGACTAGCACAAATAAAAAAGGGGGAAAAAATCAAAGCAATCCCAAACTCCCTGATGCAATTATTTCCTATTCACATTATTAATTTTTTTTTTTTTCTGGACGATGACATTAATGACTTTGAGAGAGAGAGGGATGAATCGGGGCTCCGTTTGGCACCAGTGGAGGGAATCAGATAGGTAAAAAATATTGCTCCGCCTCAGCCTACTGTGCAGTTGTTTGAGATTTTCAAAAATGAACTCAAATGATTACTTTGTTTAATTGCTTTCTTTAAATATTTGTCATTCGAGGGAGATTTAGACAATACTCAGATCAAAATCCTCACGCCCAGCTGAGATGCTACAAAAAGGAATTTCAGGCTATGCTGTGCGCCGCATAAAGTACTGATAAAGATCTTCATACCAATTATGCTCTTCTGTCATCTCAGATGCTCCTCTTGAGATCCCCCAAAGTCAAAAATTCATCTTTGCGTGTACTTCCCGTTTGACTTTCAGAAACTCCACTCTCGGATCATGGATCTGTCTGCAGCAGATTTGCTCCTGGAGCCAGAGAGAAGCAAGGCTTTCCTACTTTCCAGGAATACAGACTCCCCCTCTAATGTAAGCCTAATGGGAAACATTAAATGTACTTTTTTTCCCCTACCCATATAACTCATCCAAGTGTTGCAGCACAACTATACCCCCGTCTCCCATCAAGAAATCATTCCAAGATATTAAAATACAGATCTAAAATCCAAATCCGTGACCCCTCCTGTGCTCTCAGCAGGAAAAGCCAGCAGTATCACTTGGCACTAAGAGGGATATATCCTTGTCATATTACCAGAAAACCATCGATTGAGACTCGTCTTCAGTAAAAATGACTCCACAGGACACTCTGGAACATTAATCATCTTATATATTATGCATTAAGGCCCGAAAATGAGTTTGCTCCATTTCCTTTGCCCTTTTACCCCTCTGAGGATGCCACCTGATAAACCCTAATGCGTACCATCAGAGCAGAAAAAGAAAATGAAATAATAATGGCTGAAAAGCGAATTATGAATCATCTTGTAATCAGGATGAGCAAAACCTCTACATATCCTTAAATAAGCCGTGTTAAGTGACACGCACACGAATGTGAGATTAGAGAATTGAAAACTGTGCCATGGATGTATCAGATTCCTCATCTTAAACTCCACTGTCATTGTCAGATTGTCTTCAGGGAAATGCTAATTGGACAAACATCTGCCGCGGTGTGGTGACTGCACACGAAAGATGATTGATATCGGTATTTCTTTAAGTTTGAAAAGTGCAGTACATCGACAATTTAGTCGACTTTTCTGTGATATTTGATTGGGTGTCTCAAGGTTTTCTTCAATACCTTTCATCACAAAATCAACAGCATGATGGCAATTAGATATGCAGCAGTACCCAACACATAAACACTTTTGATGTCTAGTCGGACTAAAGGAAAGCTTATGTAACTCACAAACATTGTTAAGCGGCCATGTAAGTGACTCCATCTTAATGCTATGTCGCCTCTTTTCTGTGTCATAGGAGGTTCAGTTGAATGGAAAGGCAGGTCTCCCTGTGGCCAAATGTCTGAGCCAGCTGAGCCTGACAGTGCCAGCCCCCGTGTACCCACGCAGCAGCTGTAGCAGCAGTGAGCTGTCGCTGTCGAGCGCGTGCAGTGAATTCTCCAGCGGCTCGTACACCTGGAATGATGGACGCTCCTGTGGGAAAATGGTAAACCACCTCGCTCATCAGGCTCATTAGGGGTGCTTTAGTCTTTATTTCGAGACCTTAATTAATCCCACAACCTTCATGCATGAGTTTGCTGATTATGTTTCCAATTGGAGTTTAAAGCTTCTGAGAAAATGTGAGATTTCATATTTAAAGACAGTCCTGCACCATCCTAATTCCAAGCATTTAAAATATGTGGTGGAATAAAAATAGCTTGCACGCAAAAGCCAACATTATGATTTGCTTTTCTCAGTTCTATTGCTTTACGTACTAAAGAATATGTGTTCTTACTACACAGAGACTGACTCTGCCTCCTTTCTCTTTCCCATTTAGTCATCTCTGACGTGGGAGAAGAGGCTGAGTTTGGGTTCGTCAGCCCCTAGTAATATCTGTGCTGCTCAGGAGGAGCACCTCCCCACAAGACGTAAGGAGAGCCACATACTGGAAGGACTGAGAAAGCTCCAAAGGAGGAAACACAGGAGCTCCTCCTGTTCCTCCAAGGTCTCCAAGTCAGGCTACAAAGACTGCATGAACTCCAATGAGGGCATCTACTCACTGGGCATCAAGAGTAGCAGTAAAGGGGTGTCTAGGCCTACCCATGTGGGGAGAACTGCTCAGGGAAAGAAGTTCGCTTATGATTCTGATGATGCAGATGATGAACTAGCACATTCTAGTTGTAGAGATAACATCCCCACCAAGGACAACTGGTTTCACTGTAAGAAGCTCTCACACAGCATCTCAGACAGTTTATGTAGCTGGGAGGGAACGCAAGACAGCGGAGGTGACACTATCTCAAGTCCTGTGGCTACTAAACACCCTTCTGGGTATGACTCAAAGGAGCAGCCTGAAAGACTCATGAGTTTTATTAACAGCCTTCTCCCTGAACGAGGGCGGATATCAGCTTTTATGAGACCATCGAAGCTGCACCTCACCCCTACTGAACCAGAAGTTCCCCGTCTGTCTGATGCGGATGATCTGGAGGAGTTAAAGTCTGAGTCAAGTGACATCCGAATGTCCTTTAACCAGCCACCAGAGCAAGCCGAGAGGGACTCGAAGAGGTTGTCAAGAGATGCTGCCAAGCTGATTACACAGCAGTGCTTGCGGAGAGACCAGGTTCGTACCCAGTCTGCAGATGGAAGACCCAGGCCTTTCAGCCTGATTAAGGAGCCCAAAGTGGCCAAATGCACCCAATCTGAGGAGAGCGTGTTGGCAATATTTGATGCAGAAGGAGAGCCTATTGAACTTTGTGCAGAGAAACTTGCAGCAGCTGCTGGGACTCAAAAAGACATTCAGGGTAGCAAAGTAGTTCCTGACTACACAGAACTGGTGCCCCAAGAGAGGCCAACAAAGCAGAAACCCTCAAAATCAAGAAACTACAGTGTTCTTGAGTCTCCAGAGAAGCCATCTGAATATCAGATCAGGACCCACAAGCCAAGGGAGCAAAGCAGTAGCAGGGAGGGAAGTGCAGAGAGGCTATCAATGCAGCTGACTCCACAACGGAAACTTATCAAACCACCAAGCAACCGAGCTAGTAAAGGCCTTTCCATCCCTCCCATGAATGATGCTGCTGGTTCCAAGTACAGTAGTTCAAAGATACCTGGTAGTAATAAACCTTCAGGATCCCCACTGAGATTATCTAAGGGCTCTGCCACTGAACCAAGTAACAGCGGGAACTCAGGACCCCCTGGGCAGGAGAAGTCCCCCTCCTCTCCGACAGTTAAAATGTCCAGATTCATCAAGACACCAGGAACCTGTATTCAAAGCCCAAAAGCGGTGAACTCAAAGCTCCCCAGCAGGGCCGAATGGAATAAGGGCGCCTCATCGAGTTCCCCTCACCTCTCAAGGAGACACCTGGAGTATGCTGACAACGGCGAACAGCCAACCAGAGACAAACACTGTGAAAACAGCAAAAATAAACTCAGGTCCCCCTCTCCTCCCCCTCCCCCGGGCCGCACCACCTCTTTACTGATCAGACCAAATTACGAGGGGTCGCCAACCACTGTGAGGGGTCCACCCCCAAGTTACCACACCTCACTTTTACCAAATATGCAATCAACGCTACCCATCAAGGATAAAGACTGTTTAGACTTGGATGCAGGCTACGGGACTGCACTTGCACCTCAGAAACTGGTTGACAAAACCAGTCAGCACCTTCAAAAGTCCCCTGCCATGACTAAGACACCTGCTAAAGGCGATTCCAAGCGGATGACCACGAAAGACTACCTCCCTTCTGCAAACTCAGGGTGTGCTCGAGAACCTGAAACCGCACCTAAAACCTCGAAGAATGTCCCTCCTCCCTACAGTGCCCTCAGAGGGTCCTCATTTCAGAACTCACCTGCAAGCAAAAAAGGATCTGCTAATAAAAATGTCCATCAGTCAGTGCAGAAGACCTCTATTAGTTTACCTGTTTCACTTCAGGACACACCTCAAGGTCAGGCAGAGCCACAAACTGGCAAAGCTTTAGACAGCTCTATTATTATGTCCCCTAACCTAGCAGAAAAAGCCTCAAAGACTCGCATCCCAATGGGCTTTAAGGCATTTTTAAAGTCTCCTCCTAGCCATAAAAATAGTCCCTCTATACCAGGCAAACAAGAGAAAGATCATATCAACTCAGTCTCCAAGGAGACTGTGACTTCAAATGCTTCTGCCCAGTGTGACAACTTGCAGACAGAGTACAATATTGATTCGCCATCCAAGATGTCTGTTACAGAGGGGAAAGGTGAAGTCCAGTGTAGGTTACTGGAAGAAGAATTACAAGCTCTTATGGTGCCAGAGGAAGGGGGTGTTTGTGATAATGGGAAAAGGAGTAGTCAGCTTTTTGGCAGATCCATATCTATTGCTGCCAAACCTCATTTAAAGCCAGCGTTAGGGATGAACGGGGCAAAAGCTCGTAGCCAGAGTTTCAGCACCAACTACATTGAAAAACCAAGCATCAATTCCTTAGATGGGCCGGGAAAAATCAGAACTCAGATCATTACCAACTCAGGGGAAAGGGGGAACTCTCTGTCGAGACAGAGTTCCTTAGAAGCGACCTGTGCTGGGTTAGCAGAGAGCCCTGTTCATTCTCCAAGGACAAGACTTAGCCACTATGGAGGGATGACAGGGTCAAATAGTCACGGCATCCTCCCTGACAGAGCTTTCAAATCGGGTTCTAAAGTTGAGGGGTCACAGGGCACAGGGAAGGGGGAGGCAGTCATGTCACCTTCTCACAAAGTGGTCCGTAGTTTACCCATCAGTGATCGGACTGGTTTAAACATCCGTAAGCCATCGAAGGTTGCCTCTCATCCACAGTTTCATCCTCCATCCTCTTGTGTCTACGGCTTGGAAAATCCAGTTAGAGAGACAGAAGACAAAGCAGCATTCCCTAATGAGGCAGACTTCAGCAGGGAAGTCAAAACCCAGGCGGACTCCCCAAACAAACACCCAGATATGGAGGAGAAAAAAATCAGCTCAACAGTCACCACTATTGAAGAGAAAGTCATGATGGGAATTGAGGAGAACGTGCAGAAATGTCAAGAACAGGAGAAAGTCGCTGCCACCGAGGCCAAACAGAAGACGGGTCCCTCTCTGGCAAACTGGTTCGGCCTCCGTAAGAGCAAACTTCCAGCTCTGAGTATTAAAAAAGCCGACTCTCCCAAGGGAAAAGAGGAGAAGAAAGAGCTGAAGATCGGAGGCAAACAGATGAAGTCTGACAAGAAGAAGGATAAGAAGAAAAATGATAATCAGCAGAAAGAAAGCCAGGAGGTGCAGGGTCTGTCTGAGATGAACAACAAGCTTAGCTCCATTATGGACCACTGCAACAATCAGATGGGTCAGATTGCCAGTCAGATCCAGTGCACGACGGCCTTTATTGGAAAAGACCAGTTCGTGAAAGAGCTTCTTGGCAGGTGAGTTAGCAACACCTTTGTCATTAAGAAAATCAAGTATTATTATCCTAATTGATCGGATGCTGTGCTGATTATTTCCTGTCACCGAGCTTTCTCAGAGATGCCTTTCTACCAAGTGAATCAACGATTCAGAAGCAAAGTAGTAGCTCTATTACATTAAACATGAGCAATCCCTACATTAAGCTTGTGTGTTCAGAGAAACACAAACAGCAGCTGTCTGTTTGAGGTGTGACTCTTCACTAGTGAGCATAAACAGTTTGGGGATCAGACACATAGTCAGCAACACTCAGGATTATTGTGTGTTTAAGCCACAGTCATCTACTCTCTTTGCTCATTTTCCTCTTCAAAAACCCAGCTGACAGATTTCAAACACTTGTGAAGTACCACTTCATGCAGGTTGTTAACCGTGCGATGACATTTCCATGTGTGTATGTGTGCGTGCACACATGTGTTTACCTGCGCGTTCATGAAGCGAAAGAGTGGGTCAACGCAATTTATCAGGAGTCTCGCTTTCTACCTGGTGAGTTGATAAAGGAAGTACTCGGCACACAGACATGAAAAACAGATCAAATCTTATTTCCGTACAGGACCGCTGTGAAGGGCAACTCCGTGGCCACATCGCCGCCTGGGATCGCCACGCCCAAAAAACACAGCGAAACGAAGGGAGATATGGAGATCTGTTCAGATACTGCTGTAAGTAGACAAACATGCACTGCGGACTTTGTTACAGTTTTTGGGGCAAGCTTGTTTGCAGTGCACGCATACGTGCAAAATTCCCATAGGTTTTCACACTTGTACAGTATGAACATGTTCACAAACAGATCCACAACACCTCTGCCTCTTCACCATCACATCCCCTGAAGGCTCAATATTGATTCGCATTGTGTTCTGACTCAGCCTACAATTCATCGCCTACTTTTTTTATTATCAAACCCAATCCTGTGTTGTTGTTGTCTCCACAAAGCTGAAGGTTTTTAAGCTATATCTCACATAGAGGCAGCCATCAGGCTGTGGATGTAGTACAGACTTAAATTAGGCTCCTATCAGCTGTTTGATTTTGTAAATCATATCAGTGCACTTTGTAAGCAAAATGCTAAAATCTTGACCTTGTGGGTTTATTCTTTATTACCTGTCAGTCAAAATGCCAAAATATGACGGAGAGCCTGAGAGCTTGAGAGCGACTGAAAGAAGGGAGACAGCAATAATAAAAGAAACTGAAAGGAGCAGTCTGAACAGGGGGAAAGAATGACAGTCTCACCGCATAATGTAGGAAATTTAATCCAGATGATGTGAAATTTTGATAACATGGAGGAGCCCCTTATCGCAGACACTCAATTTGACAAAAGAGCCATTTAATACCATCCTCCAAGCTTTCCGTCTATCTTCTCCCCACAGAAATACAACAAAAGAGCCACACTTTATGACCTACAAGCTCCTTTTACACCACCCCCAAAACCACATTTTTAAAATAACCTAATTAAACTATGGCAGAAAGTCTGTGACAATTACCTTACTTCTTTCTGAACAAAACTTTCAACACATTTCACAAAGCCAGAAGCTTGTCCAGTCCTCTGGAAAGTCATATAGTACGTGAATCGGTTTAACCGATCCTTTTCATCCACAATTTTCTTTTGCACATTACCTAAAAGAAAGCCTTTTAAATTGATAAATGTTAACAGCTCATACTAACAAAGCTGCATCTATACGGTCTAATATATCCAGAAGGTATCCTGGGGTATGTGGACAGCTTAGCTCAACTCATCTAAAAGAAAAAAATAATTAATTGATAAGCAATAGAAATGTAACTATAAACATGTATAGGGATTTGGATTGCGTAAGTAATAAAAAATTAAGAAAAGGCATGTCAAAATACCTGGATAAATGTTGGCATAAGCAAGAGAAATTTCACAAAAGTCACAGTAGCTCGCTAAAATTAGGGTTAAAAAGGGAGAAATTATGACCTAACAGCGTACCTATCAAATAAAAATTTAGATGAAGAAATGAAAGAGCAATAAAACTTGCACCATCTAGCTAAAACTAGCTTAAACCATTACACAATCTAGCTAGAAATATGAATCATTTTAAATTATTAGCAAATTATTAGCAAAATAAGAATAGATGAACAAACTGTCAGTCATCTAATAGTTGGGATATTTCACTAGTGCTGCAGTTATACTAGTCATACTATACTAAAATTATTCAAAGCACGGGCTTTCACTGTTATTTCAAAGTTGGGGACCACTCCCAGTAAATGTATGCCAATCTGTCTGAGAGTGATTGCAGGCAATCTGAGCTAGACTAGGATTGTTTGGAGAGCGGTTGCTGCAACATCTTGCAATCAGTTGACCAATGTGAAAAAACTCAGGGCAGTTACTGAGCAACCACTGATTTTCTCTGTTCAAGCAAGAAGGTTTCTGTCCTATTTGTACTGTGGTGTGACTGAATTTAATTGCTATGATTGGTTACTAAGCTGAAAGTGTTTCCAGTTTAAAATAATTTTCAAATAAACGTGTTTGAACTTGAAAAGTGGGGATGGTGAGGTGTTCTCAGGTCTATCTGACAAACCTTTAAGGGTGTGTCAGAAAAAAGGTTTAAAATCTCTGCTTTACGTCATAACTTTGTCACTAACATGGAGTTTGTTCATTTTCTAGACCCTCATAATGACAGAGAAGATCAACCTAAAGGCTGAAAATGTAGAGGGACACATCCCAGACGCAGCTTGTCAAGACCACATGTTAGGTGAGTCTATGAGTTACTTTTCAGCTTTCACTAAAGGCAGTTTAAAAGAACAATATCTTTCCTCTTCTCTGATTTGAGTTGTTACTTTGCCTAAACTTCACGTCTTCTCTTCTCTGGGTTTCATACTCTATCTGCAAGTGTTTATCTCACTGAGTACAGGTTTTCATTTGGCTTAAACCTGTCAAAAATCAACCGGTGCAACAAAGCATTAACACATTTTTACAGTTGCAATTTCCTGATGTGACTGACAACTCAATTCCGTCGCCAACTGATTCCCCTCACTGCCAGACTCACCATTACTGTGGGGAAATAGCAGCGGTTGCAAACGGCACGTTGACAGTCTGTTCAGGTGATTGACGTGCAGCCGGGTGATGTTTCACAATGCCTGAGCAGCTAAAGAAGTGAAAAAATAAATGCATCAAACAATTGTGAGATGAGATGATGACTGTTATTACTGCAGAGCGACAAACTTACATTGTAGATTGTAGCTCGGTGAGGGGAAGGAGGGGGTGTAGGTGCTGTTTACTGGATGTGGAGTGCACCGTGTTCATTACTCGGCTGTCACTCACCGGGTTATTGACAAATTGTTTCACAGATTCATCTCAAAGTACATAATGGCATGCTTCTTGAAATGTAGCTCTATTGCAGGTGTGAATTTAGATTTGCTGATAGCAGGGTAGCGATTTTGTTTTTTCTCTTAGTTTTATTAAAATAAATTAGATGGGTTATAACCCCAGCCAGTTTGTTTCGGAGGGAAAAGAGGGGTGTGCAGATAAGTCAGAATCATTATTTTATTTGTTCCTTCATTGCCTGATTTTATCTACTGTTCTGATTTTATCTGTTTTGATTTTATATACTGTTTTGTTTGTTTGTTTGTTTGTTTGTTTGTTTGTTTGTTTGTTTGTTAAGTGGGTTTAGAGCTCTGGGTAGCTCCCCAACTGGGTCTAGACTGGGTCTAGAGAGTATTTTAAATTCAGGGAATTTAAAATAGAAAGTAGCTCGTCCACAGAAGGACTGGTAGCTCCCCTTACGATAAGGGTTCAGATCGCGCGAACAGGTGTGAAATGTGTGTGTTTAATTAGTTTGTTTGTTTGCTTGTTTTAATCAATTTTAAATCATGCTTTTTATTTGTTTTTGTTTCTAATGTCTCTGTAAAGCACTTTGAATCACCTTGTTGTTGAATTGTGCTATACAAATAAATTTGCCTTGCCTTGCCTTGCCTTGCCAAAACTTGGGAGAACACTAAAACTGTAAATAAAATAGCTTATTCTGATGGCAAATGGTTAGGATGGCTGTACTATCAAACCATTTCGTGCTTTATATGTGCTATAACTGTAAGAGAGAAGAAATCGAAAATAATAAAAGATGTAAGTGAAGTAAAGGTAAGAACAGTATCGCAAATAAAACTTCAAATAAAATAAATAGTATATTCTAAAATCTCAGAAACGCTACAGGGAGCTGAAAACCACTAAAAATGTGTCCTTCTTAGAAGCCGAGTTGGAGCTGCCACTTAGAGCAGCTGTCTGAGGATGCAAAAGACCCGAGGGCCAACCTGTACATGCATGTTAAAAATAGAATTGCAGGACAGCGTGTACTGCATGTAAAAGAGGTCATTTAAGGTGATGAAATTCCTGACTCTGTGATTCCTTTTAGACAGGGAAAAGCCCTATGGGTACTTTTTTCAAGCATGTAACTTTAGAATTTTTGTGTCATTTTCAGCTGTGATAGGTAGGAGTTTTCAGAGAATGAAAACCTCCAAAAACCAACTAGCCACCAGACACAGCTGGTGAACATACACTGACCGGACACTTTATTAGCTACCCACTGCTAGTAAAAGTATTGGACCCTCTTCTTCAAAACTGTTTCAATTTTTCATGGCACAGATTCAACGAGGTGCAACATTCCTCAGACTTTTCTGCCCATATTGACATGATAGCGTCACATAGTTTCTGCAGATTTGTCAGCTTGCACATCCATGTGAATGGGCTTTTAGTTGCTTAAGCTCTGGCGACTGTGGTAATCTTTTGAGTACAGTGAACTTTTTGTCATGTTCAAGAAACCAGTTTTATTTGAGTTTTGCAACAAGGCACCAACGACAACTATGCCATGTTTAAAGACACACCTTACTTTACCATTGTGATGCTCCTGAAAGGATAAGAATCTTTGATTGCTGCTGCTAGCACAGACAGCTTAAATAAACAAGCCACAATGTACCGGCTGTACACTGAACAAAATGTTTTTGTTACATTATTACAGTGTGCACACCCCAGTGGCCTAATGGATAAGGCACTAGTTTCCTATGCTAGGGATTTTGGGATTGTGGGTTAAAGTCTCATCTGGGGTGAGTTCCAGCAGTGGACTTTTATGAAAGTTGGCTCGCCAACGACTGCTCAGAGTCGTGGTTTTGTAAATTCTAGTATTAGGTTAGACCCCCTTTTGCCTTCTGATCAGTCTTAATTCTTCATGGCATAGATTCAACAAGTTGAGATTATCTGAATTTTGTGAGACAGTGTGTTATCCTACAGTCATCAGAAGATAGGTGCACTGTGGTTTTAAAAGGATGGACACGTTCAAGCTCAGTTGGTACTTAGAGCCCAAAGTTTTCCATTTTGTTTACACCAAATTCTGAATGGCGTGGCAGAAATCGAGACTGATCAGACAACAAAACATCCAATAATCTGTTGTCTTGTTTTGGTGAGCCTGTGTGAATTGTAGTCCCAGTTTCCTGCTCTTAGCTGACAGGAGCAGCACCCACCGTTAGGGATGGGTATCGAAAACCGGTTCTTGTTGAGAACCGGTTCCCACTGTTTCAATTCCTTGGAATTGTTTGCCATTTTTGCAAACGATTCCCTTATCGATTCCAGTCGCCCTGAATGACATCACCACGTTGCGGAGCGTCATTTACCTGGCAGGAAACATGGCGGCTCAAACGCTCAAAAGTTTGGTTATACTTTACGAGAACGGATGACAACAGGGCAACTTGCAATACTTGCAAAGTAGATATTTCATTTAAGGGAGGAAACACTGCGAATATGCAAAAGCATTTGCTCACAAAACACACGATGACCTTAAATGAATGTCGTGTTTTTAATTCCGCTCCGGACTCGTGAATCTCAACCCAGCAGCAGCGGTAACGTTTCCACGTCCTCTCCCGTTAATGCGGCAGGTAAATAATCAACTAACAGTGCATATTATGTTAGTGCGATCTGCCTTATTACAAAACCTGCCATTACTGTGCATTTAGGTGACCATGATGAGAGAGACAGAGAGAGTCTGGCTCAGATGCTGGCAGCTCTCGCTGCAGTCTACTGGTAGCGTCTCCTTTCAGGCCAGGATAGACGAATGTCACCGAGCAGTGACTAAGTTTGTGGTAAAAGGTTTGCACCCATGTACCACAGCAGATGCCCTGATTTTCGGTAAGTGAATGTGTTTAATTGTAGGCAGGGACATTACTGGATATTCTTGTGTAATTGCTACAGAATAATTTATGTTATACTTTGTTATTGCTACAGGAGAATATTTATTTTATTATTTTACATTTACAATTTTTTTCCTGGGGACCCTGTGACACCCCATTGAAGAGCCATAGGCTGCATCTCTTAAGATCTCACTGTTGGGTTTGTAAGGCCATGTTACTCCTAAATTTCTATCTTGTTCAAAGAGAAGATATAAAACAAAGTTCTAAGCTAATCGACTTTAGTGTTCTCCTTTTTTTTAAAAAAAAGAATCGATAAGAGAATCGAATCGTTAAACAGAATCGAAAATGGAATCGTGAAAATCTTATCAATACCCAATCCCTACCCACCGTGGTCTTCTGCTGCTGTTGAGATGCTCTTCTGCATATCTTGGTCATAATGATTGGTTATTGTACTTCCTGTTGCTTTCCTATTAGCTGAATGTAGTCTGGCTATTCTCCTCTAACCTCTGGCATCAACATGCTGTTTTTACCCAGAGAACTACCAAACACTGGATATTTTCTAATTTTTCAGACCATTCCCTGTAAACTCTAGAAACATCTATGTTTTTGAAATACTCAGACCAACAACCATGCCACATTCAAAGTCACTTAACTCGACTTTCTTCCTTATTCTGATGCTCAGTTTGAACTTTAGCAGGTCGTCTTGATCATGTCTACATATCTAAATGCACTGAGTTGTTGCGTTACTTATTAGATTAGATATTTGCATTAATTAGCAATTGAACAGGTGTACCTAACAAAGTGGCCAGGGACTGTAGTTAAGAACTTAGGTGCTAAAGAGTCAGAAAGTTCCTCCAGGAGTTGGTGGAGATCAAAACGGAGCAAAAACAAAACTGAATATTCAAAGGTTTACTAACAATAGCAATAAAGTCTTAGTCTCCAAACGTAATATATTTTAACTAGATGGAAAAGCTGGCCATTGTTCTCTGGGGTTGCATCTTAATTAGTCCTGTTTGTATGCAAAACATGCATGCTGGTGACAGTGAAAAATCTATACATCTGCCAGTTCTCACAATTAAAATAAATGTGTTTGTTAAGGCTGAGTGCAGATGGAAATAATCTCCACAGAAGCACAGAGTTGGCAGATTGAGCTGCGAAGCTACTAATCAATCACAAAATACTTTTGGCTTGAGCCACTAATATTGGGTCTGAGCCATGTCACCAAAAATAAAAATGTTAATTGTCTCTGTATTCTGGTTAACAGGCTGCCTTCTTTACATTCTGCCAACTAAGCGCTTCCCGACAGCCTGAATTAAATATTTAATAAAGGTTCAGCTGTGGCTGCTCGTTGCTTTTCAGCACTGCTATAATGTCACGTCCCTCCAAAGTGCAGCATTCACAGGCTTTAATGCCAGGTAAACACATCAATCATAAAAATAGTTTACATCCAGCCAGTTTATGATGCAAGCAGCTCGAGTTATGAATGTGGGCTTGGAGGTTCACACTGGTCAGTTATTGTACTGTGCATTAGAAGAATTTCCCTCAAGGCAGGTATTTTTTTCCTCATAAAGGGACAATAAATAACGTTTTGACTGACCCGGAGCTCAAAATGACTCTAATACGTCTGCAGAGGTTTGATGGCACTGTTGATCAATACTAATAATTCAGCTATTACTTCACCAGGTGCTGATGTGTGTGGTGTTCAAAACTTACTTTGTAGACTTTTGTTTTTAGAAAATGGCGCTGCCTTTTTAAAACATTTTTAACAAGCACGAAAGTACAAAATAACAGAAAAAGACTGTATTCTTCAGCCAAAGAGGAATAATTTCAACTGGATGTTTGCTCCAGCAACAAAAGAGATAGTACACTCTGTTGTATTAATCCAGCCTTACAATTTCTGTTGTGTTTTTCTTCCTCGAATAAACCCATTTCCACGCAGAGGAGGTATCAATAAGGCAACTCTCTCTGCTCAAACCCTGGAGGTTGTATACAGAAGTGATAGGGAGCTCATGAAAAACTAGATTATGTCCAGTCGTTGTTCCCTCTGGGTAGAATTACTGTGGACCTTGTTATAGTTTGGTTATAGAGGGCATTTTGAACTGCCAGGCTTGGCATTCAATTACACAGCCGTGTAATCTATGGCTCTCTCCGCCTTTCGCTCTCATATACAAGTAAACATCCATGTGCATACGGAGGCTATGACATGCACTGAGATCAGCATTTCTGTTTATTCCAGTACATGTAAGTGTCCTCGAGGGCCCGATAGCAGATACATTTGCAACTAACAGGCCATCTGTGCAATGAACATGGTGTATCTGTACATCCAAACACTTATATAAGGACTCGTTTTCACAGTATGTTGCGAAATCTGCTGAAAGTTGGCGACATGCACCGATTTTTCTTCTCAAAAACTCGCTCAAATATTCCCCTACTTTGTGCATCTATTGGCAATGCTTTTAAATTTAGATAATGTACATTTAAGTAATGTACTTGGCATCCTTGCTAGAAAAACGTCCAAAGAGAAAATGGATAGATGGTATGAGCTTCACATCTAAGTGTAAATATTGTTTTCTGTTTTTCTTTCTAGCGGTAAACTAATTCTGAAGTATGCCCGATTAAGTACTTGCAAATTCTTTTTAAAGCTCACTGTGAAGCACAACAGCGTTGAAAGAAACCCTTTAAGCTTTAGTAACACTGAGAAGCAGAATCTGTAAATATCTACGCATTTCTGAGAGACTGAAGAAAAGAAAGCCTTCAGGTTCGCTTTAAGAGTTTTTAACAACCAATACTTGGAGATGCAGAACTGAAAAAGTCTTGAACTTCCACTGTTTTTTACTTCAGACAACTTTTTAGGAGGTTTACACTCCAGTATCTCCGATCATACTTCTCATCTTTCTTGTGTCCAAGGAACCAGACTTGAGCAATAGTTCTCCAGACTTTCTGAAGGTCTTTCAAAGTGTTTCTTTAGACATTGGCTTCTTTTTCACTCACTGTCAGTCCAGAACGTGTTCCCAACCATTTTAAAAGGAATGGCTTTGTCTGTTAAGCCACTTAACTCTGACCTATAAGTTATTCAAGCATAAAAAGACTCCTAACTCAATGGATGAACCAGTTTTGTTTTTGTATGTAACAGCCACCTTAGTGAAGAGCCTATTTTACTTTTTTAACTTTGTTATTAGCAGCCTGTCACAAAAACACTTTTTTTTCCCAATTTCTTAAGTACAATCTATGAAAAATACCAAAGATAACTGTACTAGTATGGTATTTTTGCACCAGGTGATTCCCAAAGAGATATTAAGTAAAAACTTGGTCATACCAAATTCCGACTTTCAAGCTCGTTGGAATTCTACACATTTTGGTTTTGCTTTATATGCTGTATTTACATGTATGTTTACACATGCTTCATTAAATCACTATTTCCCATTTTCCTTGCAAAATAGAAAGAAGTGGGGGTGGCTCAAGGCTTTTCCCAGTGCTGTAAATTAATCTGAATCTTTTTGACCCAAGAATTACTTTGACGTACTTTTATCTCATTATGTAAAACTCTGGCAATGTTTAATATGAGCGTCCACCATTGGAACAGTATACACAGCTGAAAACAAGAAAAAGAATAACAGGTCCCTGGTAAGAAAGCTAATTAATCCTCAGTGGTTTTCAGTGTAACTCAGCAAAAAGTTGCAAACCACTAATAATTAGCCGATGTAACTGTTGGCCATTACCGTTCACAGTTACAAGGGCCTGTGCTGTGCTGAATGGCCATCCATCTGTTCCAGCCTGAGTCAAGGCTCTGCAAACTGTGGTTTCTAAACGACATCCATCTGTTCCTACTCGCTGTCACATCGCCTGATTACAACCCAGCGTGCACTCTGATGAATCCAAGGAGCATGTCCTCGGGTTGCAGCTCAATCGTGTATTTAGTTCAGAATTGCTGGCAGCAGGTGTTTCTTGTGTACTGTGTATATGAGAGCTGTGTGCCTCTCACCATAGTGATAACTACAAATGGGCACCAGAAAGGAGCTTCCAAAAAGTACTGTGTCAGTTTAAAATGTTTTGTTTTCTCTCTTTTTCCATTTACATTGTGTTTTGAACCTGCTACAGATTCCTTGTTTAAACACAACCCTTTCCGCTGCATGTAAATCCAGGTCCTCCTTTTCTTTTCCTGTGTCGTTGTCTCCTGCTTCTCCCAGACGTCACACTCCTCTCCCTGTCACTTTAGGCTTCGGCTGTCAGATGAGAACCCTGGACAGTGGCATTGGCACCTTCCCTCTCCCCGATTCTGTCACCCGGGCCAGCGGTCGCCACATCCCTAAATCTGAATCCAGCCCCGAGGGGGTGACCGGTGGCTCCTCTGAGCTCGATCAGGAGCCTCCCTCTTCTCACCCTGACCCCTCACAACCTGATGTGAAAGTGCCTTCCCTTTCAAAACCCCACCCGCATGTCTCTATGAGCATGGGTCACTCCCTGTCTGACCCCACTGTGACCTGCAGCAACAACAACGCCCAGGACACCCAGAGCCGCCTGCCCAAATTAGCATCCTCAGGTAAGACAGGAATATTAACTGTAAACAAATGCCTCACAACATAGCCTTCTTTTTCCTGTTTGTAGACCCTTTATAGTATTGACCGGTCATTTTAAGTGGAATGGCAACCCATTGAGTCGAGTCCCCTATGGCATCGCAGACAAGTTGTACTTATTGGTGTAGAGTGAATCAGATTGACTGCAACATGATGGGAGTTTCATAGATTAGAAGCAGTTACTTACAAACCTTTGCTGAGAGCGATTGCAGTCAGCCAGAGCTGGTCTCTGATCGTTTGGAGACAGGTTGCCTTCCAATAAGCAACCTGTTTAATTGTCTTGTGATTGAAACTGTTTCCTTAGGAGTTGAAGGCACTGCACGATCAACCTCTGGGGAACCAGTTGGTTGCTGCTAACTACTTGCATTCGGTCACCAAATGCAAAAGAAAAAAATCAATGCAAACACTGGGCACCCACCAATTTTTCCTAAATGGAATGAGGTTGTAGTCCTGAATGGAAATCTGTGGACGATTTTTTTGAAACAGCAGAGATGGCGATTGCCCAAAGAGGCCAACTGTTTGCTTTGAAACAGTCAAAGTGGAGAATACACCCAGCTACTCGTGTTGTTACACTGACATGAGTGCATCGGTATTGGATTAAACACCTAACCAAAATATCAGCCAAAGAATATGGCTGGCTAGTTTGTGAATCTCTTGGATGAATATTTGATTCCTAGTCAATCTGCCTTTCAGGCCAAATGAACAAATCCACTACAATGACAGCAGTTTCATTTCTGAAGAGTTTCCTTCAATGTTACAAGTGATGGTTGATGTGTTTCTGCAGTATATCTACCTGCAGTAACCCTAGCTTGTGCATTCGCTTGTATAAGCATTACATTTACAACTTGCAGTGCTTCTTAAATCAAAGCAAAGGTGCCAGCCTCATTTATATCTTACAGATAATAGATGTCTGGCTTTATTAATCTAATATATCACTGATACTCATTAGTGCTTTGTACTGTTAGTTTTTTACAGCACTTTTTTTCTTTAAATTAACTTGAAGGTCATCAGAGCTGCCAGGATGTGGCACCACAATAGAAAGAACAGTGCTTTTCATTGTGCTTTTCAGGCTATTCATGTTTTCCATCGAGGTCACAGTGGAAATAAATTTAAATCCATGCCTGTAAACGTTACCATTATCATGTTTGATGGACAAAAAGCCTAGGCTCGAAAGCCTCAGACAGCTTATTTACCTTTCAGGAAGTTAAGTGAAGTATTGAATGTCACTGTACTTTATGTTAATGCATTTTCCTCCTGACTGCTCAAGGGCTCCCGAGGAGCAGACAAGAGGAAGCCGTTTGGTTTATTAAACTCTGATTAAAAGAAGAACCTTGTTTGTTCAGCTAATTCAGAGACTAATGCATCAACACTGACATCTGATACTCAGTTGAGATAGTAGAAAGCCATACACTCCCACTCCCCGAGGAAAACCAACAAATGCAATTAGATAGGCACGTCACCGCAGCCATAGATCATAAAGCACCTTCTGCCTCGGCGTCGGCCATGATGCACGGCAGAACTGCGGAGGGTAGCATGCAATCAGATGGCTAATTAAAGCTACAATAACATGCAGGGATGAGCGCTCACACCCGGAGATTTATGCTTACAAGACATTAGGCGGCATCTCGTTCACCCCAGTGCTGCGGTGTCACTGCAGAGGCAGGAATCTGAGGCAAAACTACAAACATAAAGTGGCTCCTGTTGAGTCTTCCCTGTGAAACAAGTTGATTATGAAAGCCTTAACAGTAAGCTGTGCGTCTTTATCACAGGTTTTACCTCTTTGTCCTTTCCTTCATCATTATAAAAAATTCAAAAAAAGCAAAGGATACCTGAACAGACAGAACGTCTGTCACATTGTTTGTTTCGTAATGGGTGAGAGGAAGAAGGGGAAAGGACTTTTATGATCTCCATGCAGATTTCTCAGATGGAGACAGAACACGAGCCAAAAGCAGCCCGTTATTGTAATGCAGCTGAAAGAGAGGTTTCTGAATGCGAGACAATTAAACTGGCGTCTGACAGCACTGGGTAGAGTGATAATAAGACGGCCCGACGTCATTTGGGGACGACAGCTGAAAGCTGTTCTGTTGGCTGCCAGGAGTTGTGGATGGAGCAGTCACAGGGTGGACGCTGTTAATGTTTCATTCAGATATGCGAATGGGAAATGGGTTTGTAGCCAGCTGGATAGGTTTCGACTGAATGGATGTACAAGATGTACTCATCCCGTGTTTCATCAGCCTGTCAGCTCAAGGAGAAATTACCACGAGAATTACAGTGGTCTTTCCCTGCTCCACTCCCACGTCTATCTGCCCTACGTCCAAATATGTTGCAGTTTGTAGTTTATAAGTAAAAGTCCTTTTCGATTGTCGCTCTGAAGTATTTGACTGTTCCTCAAATGACTGTCGTGGTAGACTTCTGACTTGCTAGCTTTACAGCTGTTTCTCCTGTTTGTGCGGTAGCATTTAGCTGGCTAACAAACCATTCCGCTTCTGTTTTGTCGCTGAACAGCCTCTAGTTGAATTATTATCACTTTTTGGCAGCAGTGACACATTACACACTATCAGGCACATCGATTAGCACAGCAAATATATCAATTTTAAGAGAAAAAGTAGTTGCATAACCTATTTGATCACTTATAATTTAATGATTTTTCAAATACTCAAAAATCCTGCGTGTATCTAGTTGCCAGTGGATATTCCACGCTCTGTTTGCACAGGTAATCCACTTGGTCATATGTTAGTTCAGATCTTCTTGTAAAATTCAGTGGTCAGTGTTCGCCACATCACCTTCATCACCTTCATCACCGTCTTATCATGTTTGTTATAAACCTCCTGCTTCATTTCTCTTTTATATCCCCCGATTTCTAGACGCAATCCAGACAAAGAGGTTGAGTTTTTGTGCCCCACGCAGCAACATCTCAGGTTCCATTGAGGACAAAGAGACAGAAGCAGAGAGGAAGATGAAATCCAAGGACCATGATATGCTGGGCGTAAGTCGTTTACATTACACTTAGTCTAAGTTGACATATTTGTGGTTCTTAAAGGGACTCGAGAGATACCCAGACACTGTCTCAAACTTTACACAGTTTCAAAGATGAAATTCTTTCATTAGCTGCAGAGTTGAAAATGGTCATTGCTTGTTTTTGAGGAATGAGGTAATAAAGTGGTGGCCACACACTAGCATTTTTCCCACTAATGTCACCAGGGAGGCTGTATACTTACCAACTGTTGAGGGTAACGTGTTGTGAAGGAGCTTCTTAGAAATATCTGTTTTTGTTGCAGTTAATTGCTTTTGAATTAAGCAGTTACAGTTTTTTAATGCGTTTCTTTAGCGCTGCTAAGCTAGTGAGATGGCAGAAAAGACAGCCTTTTCTTCATGGAAGTATTCACTTTATTTTGAATATATAGTTGAAAGGAGACAATAACTGCATCACAGTGAAATGCAGTGTGTGTGTGTTGAGAAAAATAATGATGGCCGTGCTGCAGCTACAGAGCATCAGTGCCTAGCTTTTAGGTCAGCTGAAACTGTCACTCCAAGGGGGATTAATTAGCTTGTTGCTGATTATGTGGTAGAGGAGAATACATTCAGATGTAGAAGTCCGGTAGGATATACTCCAATCTGACAACATAACCAACATGCACAAGCTAATTATTACCTTTATTTAACCAGTCCCATTGAGATCAAAGAAATCTGGCCAATATCTACAGCATGATGTGCAGTGTACAGATACTCACACAATCACTTCACTGGTTAAAGTGTGTTTAGAATCAGATGTTTCTGCAGTTAGTCCATGTCCAAGGTGCACAGGAAGAAAATTAAAAGAAAAAGAATAACCCAAAAGTACTGTAGACTTTGCTCTCCTCAGCAGGTAAGATCACACAGGCCCAGAGACTGGTCTGCAACCTCGTGGCAACCTCCAGTCATGAGTGAAAAATGCGTATTCTCCTCACTTACATTTCAGAAGGCTTTTTATTTGACAGTTAATAGTCTCTGTTTCTGGTTTGTGTCACACTTTTCACAGTTTCACTACCATTTAGCAAGTAGTTGAGAAGTGCTTGCAGACTAGTTGGCAACTGTTGCAACCACTAGAGACCAAAGCAATTAAAAGGAGGTTACTCCCCAAGCACAGTAAACCTCTTTGCAACTAGTTTCACCTAGAAAGCAACTTCCAGCAGCCAATTGCCAACAAAGTTATTCTTGGTTGCCAGGGGGGTTGTTGACCAAACTCTAGACCTGTGTGACTGAGGTCTTATAGACCTGGGATTCAAATGGTGCTTTTCTAGGCTTACTGACCGCTCCGCTCCATTTATAGGGTTAGTATAGTTGCTAAGGGGACACTTTGACACTTTGGGATTGGGATCTATGGCTCCCAGCCGGTCTCCAGGCCTTTGTGACTCTGTAACATTACCGACTGTTTTATAATGTTGCAAATAACTTTTAAAAGTAAACTTTCTCAAAACTGTAGGTATCTACATATGAATAACTAAATTTTCTACTGAACTAAAAAAGAGAGAAGCTTAAACACCACTTTGCTTTGCAAAAAGTTAACTTAGTCATGAGGGCTATATTTAAAGTTTTTTCCTGGTATCTTCTCTGTGCAAAAACCAGACTGCATAATAGCGCTCGTATGGCTTTGAAGGCGCGTTATGTCTCTGTTTTAAAATGACTTTTTTGTTGTCCATGAATAGGAAAGAGCCTTGCGAGTGTGCACGTACTCAGGCAGCAGCAGCGACACTGAGACTGAACCCGAGGGGACGGGAAGCACTTTGGGCTCGCCGCAAAAGACCCTGATCAACAGAGCTAAGAGGAATGACTCAGGTGTGGTTGAAAGTTGTAGTCGCTGAATCTTTCATGAAGCTTCCTCAGTCTTTATCTTTTGTAGAAGTTGGATCAAGTTTAACAAAAAATGCCTTTTTTGTGAATCTGTTTCCTGTGTTTCTAGTCGAGCAGAATGAGGACACCCTGAAGAGAAGAAGTGTGGAAAAATCCTTGTCAATCATGGACTACTACCAACACGACATGTTCTCGCACCTGGAGAAGGACAGCAGGAAGATTTCGCAGTACAACCTGCTGCACAAGGAGTCGGCCCTTGATGGAAAAGCTGGAGACAGGCTCAGTGTGAGTATTCAAACTCCTCATTGTTTCCCCGCTAATCAGATTCACTCATTAACAGCTGTTTTACAGGCTTGCTGCCGATTCCCATCAAGCATTTTATTCGTGTTAAACTTTCCTGTCAAGGAAGCCGTCCAGTAGGTCACTTTCTAAGTGTTTCAATTTAGCGGGTGAACGTTCTGTATATTAATAGTTATTATTGATTGGTAGGCCTTAGAATACCATTAGAAAGAGAAAATGCACTACGCCCTGTGTTTGTTGTTCTAGGATAAATCAATTGGCTCTTAGCGTAGCCCAAAAAGAGGCACTTTAAAGTGTTAAAAGCCATGCAGCTCCCAGATGTATGCTTCTTTATGCAGCATAAAGAGGATGAGTATTGAGTCAGAAAAACGGCGCCTGACCTCAATGAAAGTCTTCCCAGGATGGAAGATGCATAATTTCGCTTTCCTTGCAGCGGAGGCAGAGGGAGGAAGAATAAATTGGACCGTTAGGATTCTCGTATGTCGCAAACTTCGGCAAGGAGACTCCTCAGATGGTCAGACTCCCAAAGCACAAGAGCTCTTTCAAAGTCACTAAAAATCCAAGGTTTTTTCTTTTTTCTTCCCGATAGAGTTGTTTGCGCTCCCAAGGTTTTTCTCTTCGGCCGTTTGGAATCGTTTACAGATTTTCACGGAAAAAATCCGCCTAATTGCTTTCGATCACCTCACCCTCTTGTGTCAGCGGGTATTTGCCTACAAGTATTTAACGCTGCTGAATGACAAATTAGAATCAGAGACCATGAAATGGCCTGCAGCCTGCAATATGCCGGCTCTCTGGGACAAACTCTCTTACAGTGCGCCTGCCCCAGCAGCAGCAGCCCTGACATAAAAATCCATAATTTAAAAAAAAAAGGCCTGAGTCAGCACGACTTTTTAAGAAAAACTATTGTCTATTAGAGATGGGGGAGAAAAATCTCAATTTATGGTGTGGGCTGGTTCTCGACCTCTGAAGTCATCTTGGAATTTAAAATGAGATCAGATCGAATCTATTTGTAATCATTTACACCCACAAATTAGAAAAAATAAACATTTTTTCGAATTTAGATCTCATTCCCACCATTAAACAGTCAAGTTTTGTTGTGCACATGCAGCCTCCATCTGAACCATGCTGCAGATTATTATGACAAATTGCGCTGGGTGTAGGTGATGCAGTGAGTCCAGGGTGATTCAGCAAGTAAACACACACCCGAGTGTCCTGAGAGCAGCACTCGAGCACAAATGAATCCCCCTAAGCTCCGAGGTCAGTTTGCTGACTCTGCCAAGTCAAGCAAAAGCAGCGTTTCGATCAAGTATTACATTATTGTACAGAGGCCGATTCGCCATTTAACAAAGCAAAGTTCAGCGACTCCACTCGAACTACAAGCGAGGAAACAGGAAGAGAGAGATTTCTGATTCCGATCCGAGTCCCGGTGGACAGGCAAAGCATCGAACGGGAAGCTTTTGAAGTGACGCTGTGCGGCCAAGCTGCAAGCACAGCTCCATTAGCCCACACGCAACGGACTCAAACAGGACAAGCAAGGCTGTGTTTGTCTCATCCTCAGACCTGCCTGTCATGTAATTGGATGCGCAAGGCTACGTTTCCCAGTTGAGTGTTGGCTTGCAACACTTACAGGGACTGCTGCAATAATGTGAGGTCAGAAGTTCAACCCCTGAAACACCCAAGAAGCACGCCTTGTCAGAGTGAAACCCGTGAAAACTTGCTGTCATAAAGCTGCTCAACTTTCTTTAAAAAGCTGCTTAGTATTGTTTCACAGCTGTGAGATTATATTAGTCTGTGGATGTGCCTAATTCTAATATTCACGTGTTTTTGAGCACGTACTTTAGGACCAAAGCTGCAATGGCCCCAAATGCAGTTTATCAATAGGCCTCCATTGTACAGTAATACAGCGATAATGAGTGTTAGCTGCTACCACTTGGGATCAATGGCTTTGTGTGTCGTAGCATTGGAGGTTTATGAACTGATCCAAGAGATTAAAGAAACAGCTTCCTCAATAATAGCTGACACTGTCATGAGGAGTAATTTACTTGTAGACCACTTTGCAGGTTTCTAACTCTAATTTCAAGACACTTTGCGTTTGGTATGAAATGTGTCGTATTTTTCTGCTATTCGTATTATGGTAGTCATGTTTACTGCAAAAAGTTCAAATAAAGCAGCAACTTCCATACATGAATAACAAAAACAACGACATTTCAGAAACTGCAGTTTCTCTACTGGCTCTGAAAATGACTCGTTCCCCATAGACTTCCAGTTTTACAGAGGAAATAAACAACTTTCCACCCAGCAGCTAAAAACTGTTTTTATGGTTTTAACCAATTTTCCCCCAATTTAAGAGCCTGGCTGCTTTCACTGGAAGATGGGTGCCAACGCAAGTATCCACACCTGTCTGCTAGGCTAACCAAATAATGTGACGAATGATATCTGTTCCTGCTACCCTTAGCTTACATCTCAAGTCCTGTTTCTCACAAGGTAAAGCTGGTTGTTGTTAATCCAAAGGTTAGTAGTTTGCATGTCACACTGTCCTTGAGCGAGATACTGACCCCAAGTTGGTCCCAATTTAGAACTCCTCGAACGAATGTTAGACAAAGTGCTTAAAGTACTTGTAATACCTGTTTCTTAGTACGCCTTTAGTACCAACTGAGTTTGATTATGTCTATTGCTACAAGACAGGATGGATCTATGCATGCGTGGGCCCTGTGATTGGCTGGTACTGACTAGGTATTTGGATTAATGAGCAGTTAAACACACGTACCTAATGAAGTCACCGGTGAGTGGAAGTACCAGTCCGTGTAAAATGTGACTTTTCAAACCCAGGGAGACAAATCCAGATGAAGAGGAAGTCTGATTAGCTTTAATAAAAGGTAAAAGGTGTTTCAAATGCAACAACAGCACACCTGAGTTTGTCTAAACTTTTTCTTAGGTACAAATAGTATTGTAAACTTACAGTTTTTAGACAAAGCACCAATAAAAAACCCAAAATACAAATAAAAAAAGAGCAGCTGTAAAATTTAACCTGTAAAGTTTGACTCCACCTTACTACTGCTGCATAGTAAATTTACTTACTCCGATGGGAACCCACTTACTGAAGCATCCTATCGCACTGTGTACGTTTGCTGTGATTTTACTAGCAGCTAATTCCACTGATTTCAAACTTCTGCGTTAAAATAAGCATTCGTGTCAACAATAACCTTATTCGTCAGCCGTGAACCGACCGTAATGATGGATGACTGCTTCTGAACCCATTTACCCCGCATTATTCCTCTGAAAAAGACAATCTATCCGAGTGTCATCACCTCCTCACCCCTGGCTGTGCACGTCCACACCTGTGCGGCCGCTCTCCTTTTGTCGTGGCTCGGGAGCATTTGACTGTCACCGGCTTTAGTTTGGGGAAGTTTGGTGGCTGGTAGCGGGCCTGTGTCAGAGCCCCGTGATTTAAGCGCCTTTAATAACCTTTCACAAACACTCAGGAGAGTGATGTAAAGCTCAGCGGCTCCCATCAGGGCCCTCACAGCCCATGCTGGCCTCCCATTCATCATCCTGACAGCACCTGACAGCCCCGCTAACGGCGCCCCCCACCTCCTTCTCCTTTCTATCCTCTCCTTCCTCCCAGTCTCTCTTTCTCCCACGTGTCTTTGCCTTTCTTCCCCTTCAGTTTTGCCCCTCTCTATTTCTGTCTCCCATACAACTCTCTTTGTCTTTCTTCCCAGTTGACTTTGCCCGCTTTCGCTCTAAACAGGTTTCCTTTGTCTCCTTCTGTCTTGTTTTTGTCCTCCTTGAATGAACTTTTGTGCTTTTATTGCTTTTCCTGCTTACTCATTACTTTCCCCCCTTTATTTCCACGCTTTGTCTGGGATATTGCTGCAGGAAAACAGCATCAGAACTTGTGCCAAGGTGTGGCATTGGTGATATTCCTGTGGCCCAGGTCCAAACAAAACCCTTCTGTGTAGCACAAATCAGCAGACTCCTCAAGCGTGGAACAGCTTGTTACCTTGGGCAGTAATTACATGGTGAGGGTTAGGGGAACATTTCAGTTGACATGCAGTTTGAAATAAGGCTGCTAGATAACCAAAACTGCATCAGTGTACAAATAAATATCAGCAGCAGGAATATGCGCTTCCCACTGTGTCACTGTCAGGCTGATAGCATCGCCAGAGTCAGATGGAAAAGACCCCGAAATAGAAAGCGAGAAGCCGCCATCGCACTTTCACCACACTGGCCCGCGATCAAATTACTCGCGCAGTGGTGACAGCAAAGACAACACATAGCCCGAGACAATAAATAAGTTATATTAGCATTTCCCCTCCCACCACCACTGTTGTCCTCATTGTAAAGTAACCCAGACGCTACGATCACACGATGCACGGACACGAAGTTGCTGAAATTCTGTCAGCAACAATAGAAAATGAGTTTTCCAATTACTTCTCCCTCCAAACTTTTCTCAAACCTGACACTGACCAAACTTGTGATTTGTTGCCTCCTTTCAGCACAGTTCACACTGAATACACTTTCACGTCATTGAAACTGGCCATGAATAGTTTCTAATAACCATTCAACACCCAGCTTGATGTCTGTCCACAGCTGCTCTGATTTTCTTGCAGATAACATGGGAAAAAAATTGTTTTATTAGTATTAACACAAATCTCGCTTCATAATGCCTCCATGTGCTGAATACAGATCTGCTTCTATTAATTTTTTTTCTCATCACATCCTTTCGGCAAACTTAAATGCCAGCAGTGGACTTGTTGCTTTATTTTGAGGATGAACAAATAACATCTATGTCAAAGTCCTTGAGCTCTCAATCTTGGCTCGTGGTGACAGGAAGGTTTGCTAATTGGTTTACAGTGCAGATAATAATATTTGTCATCTTATTGCAAGTTATATCTTTAATAAACCAGTCAAAAGAAGCAAGTCAATCCTCCATATACATTCCTGTTAAAAATACATACTATTCAGGAGAAATAAACATGTTT